GATTCAAATCTGTCATTAATGTGATGAACCGGCGTCCTGAAATGACCCTCATGGTCACATCCTACTCAGTAACGTCACGTGAATGAATCACGTTCATCATCAGCACAAACTAACGAGCAGAACGAGCTTCGCTGAGAAGATCATTAACTCTGATCAGCTCTCAGCTTCATTATTAGAGCGAGATGAAGGAGAAAAAGGTGAGATGAGCTGCTTTTCCACTGTTTACAGGCTTTAACTTCTGTTCGGCGCTGCTGCCATGGTAACGCTGAATGATGGCGCAGTGAAACAAAGCACATGAATTCTGATCTGAGCGTCACATTAAGGAATATCCGTCCAAAGTCAGGGGCTCCAGCGAACACGCTGAGCCGAAAGCATCTGAAAGCCATTTAGGTGTGGTCGTTCGGCCCGTGCCCATATTTATCAAGTCTCTGGGTGATAGTGCTGATCTAGCATCTGAGCCCGTATTTATGAAGTGTCTCAGGGCTGGAACTGATCTACCATCCGGGCCCCGGTCCCAAACGTATTCCTGACCGTGTAAAAGGCCTCAGCCCTGAATACAGGAAACTGTAAAAGGCCAAAATTCACCCAGATCAGTGCTCTGAGAAGTTTTACCATATCAGCAGCACTCATTTTTGAGATGTTTAGAAATTACGATATTAGAAATCAACTAATCTAACGATTATTGTAAGAAGCAATAAAGTTATCAGTTTTTTTAATATGCCAAACAATCTGAACAATAACAAATCATACAAAGTCTTTCAAAGGTTCTAAAGAATAAACTACAATACAATAGAATACACAAAATAGACAGTAGAAGAGACTAGACTAAAATAGAATAGACTACAATATCATATACTACAATAAAATAAAACTGACTACAATAGAACAGAATACAATAGAATACAATAAAGTAGACTAGACTATAATAGAATAGAATATACTCCAATAGAATTAAGTAGACTACAATAGAATAGAACAGAATACAATAGAACAGACTACAATAACATAGACTACAACAGAGTAGAAGAGAACATAATATAATAGAATAGACAACTACAATAGAATAGAATACAATAGAGTAGACTAGACTACAATAGAATAGATTACTCTACAATAGAATAGACTACAATAGAACAGACTAGACTACAATAGAATACAATACAATACAGAAGACTAGACTACAACAGAACAGAATAGAATAGAATACAATAGAACAGAATAGAATAAAATAGACTACAATAGAATAGAAAAGATTCCAATAGAATAGAACTTTATTAACCATTTCTGGAAATGTATGTTGGGCTTCACATGCACACAAATGCACACCTGTGAATCACTAATCAGACAGGATTAAGACTGATCTGCAACACATGAACACCTTCAAAACCACTGACACATTCATCTGGAACTGTGACCGGTCAGTCCACGCTAACACACTGTCATAACACCCAGCGCTAATACAGGTAGGTACTTCAGTATAAAGGTATCATTTGACCCCAGGTCAGCACCCCTGTGTCCAGTATGGGCCAGGAACTCCACATAAATCAAGCCTGCTACAACTGAGGCTCTGCATCTGAGCGGTCAGAAAACAGCCCTGAACACAGGAAACAGAAATCAAACACAGATGGAGCCCCGAGACCGACGAGAAAGAGAGAAACCTACGATAATAAAAACAAATCCACCAACACACACACACACTCACACACACACACACACACACACACTCACACACACTCACACACACACACACACACTCACACACGTGCACGGCCTCATAACAAAGGAAAACTTTCCATTCCATAACTCCGTCAGTGTGCGCCGCATATGTTTCTGATAAGGCCGACACACAGGGGGAGGCTAATGATGGAGTCATGCTGTCCGCTTGGACAGGTTCAGATGAAGAGCTGATGCTTTCCTAATGGTTTCATACGTATCTTCGTCTCTTCCTCCCTCCCTCTCACACACACACACACACACACACACACACACACACACACACGTACGCTGAGGAAGAAAGACACTGGAATGTTATCGCATCAGAGAAAATGTGTTCACCAACACTGTAGCAAGCAAGACTGTATCAACTAAGGCTTAGACAGTGTGTTTACACGCACTTAAAAATCTGATTCAGGCAGTAATCAGATTTCTGCTCTGCAACCGGCCAGTAAACTCACAGAAGAAGACGTGACGTAAACGTAACGTGAAACTTTTTTTTAACATCGCACCGCTTTACCAGATAATGTGAACATACATCACGTAGAAGATGAAGAATATTTACATCCTTTATTTTGTGTTTGGTTTCACTGTCGCTACGAAAACGTTTCGCTGCGTCTCGCGGCAACGCTGCTCGCTTATTTCCGGTACCGCGGCCTGTTTTCGCACATGTCCAAAAGAAGTCTGAGTAAGGGTACACATGCACTGAGAAATCTCATTACTGAGCTAAAATCCAGCTCTCTTTATCGGATTTCTTAATCGGATTTCTAGGCCTTACTCCAATCTAAGAAATCAGAGTATGCTGTTTACATGGCCATTTGAATAATCGGATAACTACTATCGAAATTAATAAAAAGTTATTAACGAAAAAATAATCGGATAACCGAGAAATCTGAAAGAAATCAGAGTAAGGGTTTACATGCACTGAGAAATCTGATTACTGAGCTAAAATCCAGCTCACTTTATCAGATTTCTTAGAAGGAATCTAAGAAATCAGAGTGTGCTGTTTACATGACCATTTGAATAATCAGATGACTGCAGAAATCTGATTAAGATCGGATTACTGAGTACATGTAAATGCATTCACTGTGAGGATACGTTAGGGCTGGGCAATTAATCGAATTTTATTTTCAACTGCGATTTTGTCTTCAAAGAGCTGTCTACTCTGTGAAAACGTCTTCAGGTGTCACGATGTTATATTTTTGCCGTGTTGCCCAAGTTTCAATTCCACACTTTTCTGCAACGATCCGATGAGATATTCATGATGTCCCCTAACAGACGATGAAGAGCCTGTAAAAGTGCCTTTACCACAGCACGAAGGACGATTAGTGCTGCTTCTGCTGCTTCACACGGAGAGACGAAAACAGGAGCATTAAAGCAGCAAAAGAAGCCACAGCATCTGCAATATTCATACAGGCCTTATGAAAAATAGGTGAGGACGGGGGGAAAGATGATGTGAAGGAGGAAGAGAGAGAGTTTGTACTTCCTCTGCTGTGGGACAGAGACACACCCCTGCCCGCAGTGTGTGAGGGGTACAGCAGAAGAGGAACCGGCCTGAATCTGTTTCACTCACAGCTCTCGCCCTCTCACATCTTCACCAACCGCTGACCTCAGATACCCTCATCAGAGAGAGAGAGAGATGGGGAAAGATAGAGATATATATATATATAGAGAGAGAGAGAGAGAAAGACAAGAAGAGATGGAGAGAGAGTGAGAGAGAGAGATGGGGAGAGAAAGATGGGGAGAGATAGGGATAGAGAGAGAGAGACAGAGAGAGAGACAGAGAGACATAATATAGAGAGAGAGAGATAGAGATAGAGAGAGAAAGACAGGGACAGATAGGGATAGAGAGAGAGAGAGAGAGAGAGAGAGAGAGAGAGAGAGAGAGAGAAAGACGGGGAGAGATAGGGATAGAAAGAGAGATGGAGACAGAGAGACAGAGAGAGAAAGACAGGGAGAGAGGGATAGAGAGAGAGAGAGAGAGACAGAGAGAGAAAGATGGGGAGAGATAGGGATAGAGAGAGAGAGACAGAGAGAGAGACAGAGAGACATAATATAGAGAGAGAGAGATAGGGATAGAGAAAGATAGATAGATAGGGATAGAGAGAGAGAGACAGAGAGAGAAAGATGGGGAGAGATAGGGATAAAGAGAGAGAGAGACAAAGAGAGAGAGAGAGAAAGACGGGAAGAGAGGGTTAGAGAGAGAGATAGAGAGAGATAGAGAGAGAGAGACGGGGAGAGAGCGTTAGAGAGAGAGAGAGAGAGAGAGAGAGAGAGAGAGAGAGAGGGGAAGAGAGAGACATACCCCCACCCTTCGGACCCCCACCCCACATATCCCCACTCATCTGACCCCCACCCCACATACCCCAACCCTTCTGACCCCCACCCCACATACCCCAACCCTTTGGACCCCTGCCCTTCTGACCCCCACCGCACATACCCCCACTCTTCTGACCCCCACCCCACACACCACCACTCTTCTGACTCCCATCCCACATACCCCCACTCTGCTGATTCCCACCCCACATGCCCCCACCCTACTGATCCCCACCCCACATACCCCCACCCTACTGATCCCCACCCCACATACCCCCACTCTGTGATCCCCACCCCACATGCCCCCACCCTACTGATCCCCACCCGACATACCCCCACTCTGCTGATCCCCACACCACATACCCCCACCCTACTGATCCCCACCCCACATGCCCCCACTCTACTGATCCCCACCCCACATACCCCCAACACTACACATAAGTATACATTTTTTAAAAAATTTATAATTAATATTTTCTACCTTTTAACATAGTCAGTAATGCTGTTATTATAAATAATATTTGATATATTATTATTGTGATATGTTTATGTTGTTATTGTGATCGTCGTCACTGTTAGAATGCTTTGGCCATACTGGACCTTACAGTCATGCCGATAAAGCTACACTGAACTTGAGAGAGAGAGAGAGACAGAGAGAGAGAAAGACAGGCAGAGAGAGAGAGGTGGAGGCTGAGCAGAGAGACACCAGGTCTACTTTCTCTATTAACTGCGCCATTTCTAAGCCAGTTCACCTCAGAAAGCTGAACCCAGCGACAAACAGCTGAACTCTGGACCACAACACAGCATCCACACCGCCTCCCGCACTCCTCCTTCTCCTCCTCCTCCTCTCTCTCCGAACTAGTTAAGTTACCGTCACTCTGGTCTACCTCTCAGTTTAGCTTCCACACAAACCACACATTAAGTTTCTCACATAAAACCGTGTTGAAGGGTCTATATTAGACCGACTTTACCTCACCCTCCGCTCACTGACCGCTCAGCCACACCGCCAAACCTCAGCACCGCAGTCTGTATCCCGACCCCGACGGAGGATCATCAACGGTTTACTGACGATTAGAAACGATGACAACAAGCCCGGTCCGCTGGGAACTTCGTCTCTCCTCGGCTAAAACCGGAGCTTTCCGTCGACTCGAAGTGCGAACTGAACACAAACCGACAGCAAAGATTTAGAAGTTCGAACCGGTACTAACTGCTGCACCATTTAAGGTGGAACGGGAAAATTCGAACAAGCAGTAACTGCTGCACCATTTAAGGTAGAACAGGAAATTTCGAACAAGTAGTAACTGCTGCATCACTTAAGGTGGACCGGGAAAATTCGAACCAGTACTAACTGCTGCATCACTTAAGGTGGAACGGGAAAATTCGAAAAAGCAGTAACTGCTGCATCACTTAAGGTGGAACGGGAAAATTCGAACAAGCAGTAACTGCTGCATCACTTAAGGTGGAACGGGAAAATAAGAACCAGTACTAACTGCTGCATCACTTAAGGTGGAACGGGAAAATTCGAAAAAGCAGTAACTGCTGCATCACTTAAGGTGGAACGGGAAAATTCGAACCAGTACTAACTGCTGCACCATTTAAGGTGGAACGGGAAATTTCGAACAAGTAGTTACTGCTGCACTATTTAAGGTGGAACGGGGAAAGTCGACCAAGTAGTAACTGCTGTATCATTTAAGGTGGAATGGGAAAATTAGAACAAGTAGTAACTGCTGCACTATTTAAGGTGGAACGGGAAAATTCGAACAAGCAGTAACTGCTGCACCATTTAAGGTAGAACGGGAAAATTAGAACCAATAGTAACTGCTGCCCCATTTAAGGTGGAACGGGGAAATCCTAACTAGAAGCCACCGAATAAGGAGCTGACTTCAGCCTCGCGCAGTCCGGCTGCCGGTTCCGTTACCTGGATCGCGCCTCTCTTTAAACTTCTCTTTTCAGTCCGTTCCTCTCATTCAGTCTCGCGGCGAGTCGGGCGCGCGCCGTCCCACAGCGGGTTTGAACTGGGGCTCGCGGCGATTCGCAAGTTCTGTCCGATCTGTAAACTCGAGCGAGCGGATCGATCCCCGCGGCGGATGGTATACAGATCAGCGCAGAGGGTCCTTTTGTGGCAGGAAGGACTCAACGTCTGTTCCTCCAGCTATTTAAAAGGGGGGTAAAATATAGCAGGAGCGAGTGCGTTAATCTCGAAACGACCACCGCTGCGTAGTGAGGGTATCTAGGGAGCGAAAGTGAGTTTAAAAGGTTATAAAGGGGCCCAAAAACGACGACTTAATCAGTAAACGTGTCGTCACCTCAGTGAAACGCAACAGATCAAAAACATACTTAAGGGCAATTCCACCGATTTTCCATAATTCAGTCGCTGACATGTAAACAGTCATTCGTTCTGGTTTGGTGTCAAATTGCTCCCTGCAGAGAACCTTACAGACTCAGATGTCTTTACAGTGGTGGTGATGGGAACCAGGGGTCACCATGTCTACAACACAAATATAGCCATTTTATCTACTGTCTAAAACCACCAGTGAACCACCACGTGTCTTCTGGGTTTATATATGCAATGTTGATGATGGTAAAATAGTCATAAATCTGAAACAATAAGTTTCGTTTTTGGTACTATTTTGTCTTACAACGAGGCAAAATAGTCCCCAAAGAAAACTTAGTTTTTCAGATTTATAACTACCGTCAACAACATTACACCCTGCTGAAAAAAACATAGATGATGCACGTCTTATGTCATCATAATGTAACCGATTTATTCAACTCATGTAAAAAAAAATCACAGCGCTGCTCATTTCAGTGTTTTCAGAGCTTCACATCGCAGCAGACGATTAAAGCGAGAGAAATGGCTCTTTTTTAAACAAATGTCGCCATCTAATGGCCATGTGGGGCATTGCATGTCATTTTTAACAAAGGCCACTAGAGGGCGGGCGAGCGCTCTGATGAAGGGCCCACATCGTAGAAAACTAAATATTCCCCTATTTTTTTTTAAATAAAAGAATTTAAAGTAGCATTTAAGCATTAACGTTTACTCCCCAGTCCATACAGTCTAAAGGGAAGTTAAGCTGCAAAAACAGCTCATTGTGAGCTCACTGTTCCTGTGATGTCACAAAAACCAGCAAATTTATATATCTGCTTTTTTTTCTACCTGCAGCAGTTTAGCCCCACCCATTCACGCTGACGTCATAAGGAGTGTTTTCAGCCTGGACTGCTTTATGAACGAGGCACAATACAGAACAGCCAATGTTGAAGGGAAGCGTAACTAGGCCGAGCTTAAAGGGCCCATATCATGAAAAACTGAACTGTCCTCATTTTTTGGAAGCAAAGCAGTTTAAGTTGAACTGTTTAAAGTTTCTAAATGTGCTGTTCATTCCACACAAATGTCCATTGTGTAGTCACTGTTTTTGTGATGTCACAAAAAACAACATATTTACATATATCCGTCAGCCTACAGCAGTTTAGCCCCGCCCATTCACGCTGAGGTTATAAGGAGTGTTTCAGCCTACTGTTTTCTGAATGAGGCACAATATAAACCTGTTTATTTTAATGGCATAAAGAGATGCCTGGATTTAACAGGTAATTCTTTTCCTTTTCATTTGCTATCAGAGTGAAACAGTCTGCTTTTTTACTACTGTTCCAGTGTGCCTTTTAAGGGGAATTCCACCAACCTTTCAAAATTTGTGCATAATTGAATTAGTAAACTGAGTCATTCAGAGTGGTTTGCTGTGAAATGTGTCATTCTGGAGAAACCAGAGTCAGAATTGCTTGCAGTGGTGGTGATAGGAACCAGACGTCTGAAGAGTTTAACTCCTCCATTGACCATCAGCTCCACTGACCATATAGGAGCACTTTGTAGTTCTACAGTTACAGACTGTAGTTCGTCTGTTTCTCTGCATACTTTTTTACCCTGTTCTTCAGTGGTCAGGACCCCCACAGGTCCACCACAGTGCAGGTACTATTTGGGTGGTGGATCATTCTCAGCACTGCAGTAACATTGACGTGGTGGTGGTGTGTTAGTGTGTGTTGTGCTGGTACGAGTGGATCAGACTCAGCAGTGCTGCTGGAGTTTTTAAACACTGTGGCCACTCACTGTCCACTCTATTAGACACTCCTACCTTGTCAGTCCACCTTGTAGATGTAAAGTCAGAGACGATAGCTCATCTGCTGCTGCACAGTTTGTGTTGGTCATCCTCTAGTACTTCATCAGTGGTCACAGGACGCTGCCCACAGGACACTGTTTATTCCCGATTATTCCCATTCATGTTTCAACCAGTGGCCGGTCTCCTCATTTGTAATGTCTCTGATGTAAACAGTGACTGTTTGTGCTGGTTGTATGTGTCACCATGTATATATTAGCATTCAGGAAGGGAGACTGTTGCCAATATAGGAGTCAACCACTGGTAACCAGTTAAACCATAAGCCAAAACACATTACAAAACCATCAGAAACCAAGGCTACGTTCACATTAGCAGGTTGAAGTGGCACAAATCCGATTTTTTGCCCTAATGTGACTCAGATCTGATGTTTTCAGAGCTGTGTGGACAAATCTGATCTTTTCAAATCCGACCTGAGCCACTTTCATATGTGGTTCTAGATCGGATACGTATCCGATTTATGGCCATGTGACCTTAATGTGACGCTCAGATCCGATTCATGTGCTTTTTCCACTGCGCGTGACCATCATTCAGCGTTACCATGGCAGCAGCACCGAACAGAAGTTAAAGCCTGTAAACGGTGGAAAAGCAGCTCATCTCACCTTTTTCTCCTTCGTCTCGCTCTAATAATGAAGCTGAGAGCTGATCAGAGTTAATGATCTTCTCAGCGAAGCTCGTTCTGCTCGTTAGTTTGTGCTGATGATGAACGTGATTCATTCACGTGACGTTACTGAGTAGGATGTGGTCATGAGGGTCATTTCAGGACGCCGATTCGTCACATTAATGACAGATTTGAGTCACTTACCTAAACGAGTGTGAACCATCTTGTCAGAGAGATCGGATTTGAGCAAAAAATCAGATTTGAGCAACGAGGCTTGTAATGTGAACATAGCCTTAGAGTCTCTGAACTTCAGGTTTCATCGCATTAGTATGAAGACATGAAAAATGAAGAAAGAAAATGAAGATTTTTTCAGAACGTAGATGATTCCTTGATGTCTGATGATGTTGTACAACATCTAGAACTGTCATGTAGAACTTCACACCAAGTGCAATTTATTGAGAGCAAGATCAGGAGAGGTGAACAAAAGGGCCAGGGAAGGCCAACCATATCAAAATGGAACAATAGTAGACAGTCCCCCAAAACACTCGCCAGAAATCGCAGTCGAAATACCATCCAAGAAAACTAGAAGGCTACAAGAGAACACAGCTCAGAAGGAAGACAACCAAACAAAGACTTTGCAAGACGTAGCTGAAAACACGGGGTATTCATGTGACGTCACACTGTATAGTCATATAATATATAGTATAATTGTGAGGACCGAATCAGGGAGTGACTGCGCTGCGCGGCGCCTTCAATCAGCTTTGTGAATGATTCACCTGCAGGACGTGACAGAAGCCGAGAGACGAGAGACACGCAGACCTTTAATTCAGTGTTTTCACTCCAGGTTTGGAGCCGCTGCACTGTATAGTTTAGTGTTTCTCTCTGCTGTTCACCTCGTTCAGCTCAAGAAGGGATTAATTAGCTAATAATATCAGGTATTTTAACCAGGAAACCACAGTTATGCAGTGCAGGGGTTTCAGGACTGGAGCTGAACTCTGAACTAACTGCACTAGCAAACTTACAGAATCACGTCTGTCGAAACACGACGTCGTTTTCAGACCCACGACATTCAGCCTGATATTTAACGTTTAACATTTATGTTTCTCCACTGGGCACTGTCAACAGCAGGTGTGACAAAGAACGAAGTTATAACACAATTAACATCTAGAACGCCTTGAAAACTGGTGCTCAAATCTCAGGCCGATGATTTATCAATATCAAATATGATATTATTTAATTGAATTTGATTATCATAAACGAATAATTACAGAATATTATTTACCACTTGATAACTTTTCAACACTCCCCAAAGAAATGAAATCTTAAATAAAAGGTCCTAAAATGTCTCCTCACGTCTAGCTTATAGGATTTCAATCTATACTGTGTATCTCTCTCTCTCTCTCTCTCTCTCTCTCTCTCTCTCTCAGGTCATGGAGCACGTCTCCCTCTCATGACTGTAATCAGGGTCAGAAATAGCTCTTCTGAAGGGCCCATGAATGAAGAGGTGCCCAAAGCAGCTCTTCCAGAAATAGCCCCCACAGTGCTATCTTTAACCAGATTGACTGACCGGGCTTTTTACAGCTGGTGACATGTTACAACTGCCCATCTCACTCACTGTCATCAGAGAGAGAAACACACTTACAACTGAGACAGACAATATTTCACACTTTCCTTTACTCCATCTGTCATTGCCAGAGTGAAATATACTGTGTCACAATATGTTCTTTTGGAATATACTGACATGTTTTAGATAGAGCCATCCATCCATCCATCCATCTATCCAAATGTGAAACACTGAAATTATTCTGTGCTATCTACATATCTATCCATCTGTCTGCACATCTGTCTGTCAATCTGTTATGCTCCAGGAGGTTTTCAACAAACATAATGATACTAAGGCTCAGTCCCATTTCTCACTTTTACCCCTACCCCTTGTTTCCGAGTGTCTCCTTGTCCCTTAGAACGGAGTTACATGGGTAGTGGTTGAAATCTTCCTCTATGAAACGAGACCCTCAGATAAAAAGATCATCATTTCATTAACAGCTACTAGCGCTGCTCTGTAGGCGACCCTGCCAGTCTGCAGTGACAGCAGAGGAGGGTAAAGTTCAGCTCCTCACTGCTGGGACTTTAGTTACGTTTAGGGCATCATATGCCTTCAAAGAGGGGGGCAATTATTTATTATCACCCACCCCTAATTCTTCAGTGATATGAAGCTGAAGTCAGATATTCACCAATTGCTTGTTCGAATTTTCTCGTTCCATCTTAAATGATGGATCAGTTCCATTCTGGCACTTCAGGGGTCAGTATTGCCAGACTATTTAAGGTGGAACGGGAAATTTAGCTAGGTAGCTATCAAGACATTAGCATACTATTAGAGATTTTTTATGCTTGTTATGAAGAAAATGACCATAATACATTCAAATGGCTTTAAACTAAGATCTTACCTTTACATTTATTTATAATTCTTTATATTGTTAATTTTTTGTGAAGAACAGAGTTTAGAGTTTATATTTTTATCTTATTTTTTATTTTTAGTATTGTATATATTGTCTATATAGTAACACAAACTGTAAAAACCATGTTAAGTAATTAACAAAGTTAATCGCTTGTTAATTCAGAATTTCCCCATTGTGGGACTAATGAAGGATTATCTTATCTTATCTTATCTTATCTTATCTTATCTCATCTTATCATACAATCAATATCGTAATTTTTTAACAGAGAAAATTCTCACATTTGTGGGTTTCTTTGGTCACTTGTGCAGCCATCTCTTTCTTTTTCACATAATACTCTGTTTGGAGTGTGCCTGAAAAAAGCTCAGGGCCCTGTAGCTCGAACACTTCGCCCTACCCCTCTATCTCAACGAGAATCAGGACACCCTACCCCTAGACATGAACGCGCAAAATGAAAGGCTAAGGGCTAAGTGGTAGGGGTGAGGGGTGAAATGGGATTGGGCTTAAATTACCACCACACTGTCCCTACGACTGTGCTATTGATCTCATAGAGGGTGCTACTTTACCCAAGTCTGCGGGTCTATCCTCTCATCCAGGAGTAGGAGCGGTCAGTGGAGGAGTACGTTCAGGAGGCCTTAGCCCATTAGACCTTCCACTTTGCCCCTCAGCTTCAGGGTTTTTCTTTGCGAAAAAAAAGATAGGGGATCTTCTGCCTTGTATTGACTATCACGGTTTAAACCAAATCACCAAGAAATACACATATCCACTACGTTTGTTTTCATGTAGTGCTAGGACAACTCAGGGGTGCCAAGCATTTTACGACATTAGACCTCCGTAGTGCCTATAACCTGATTAGGAGTAAAGACAAATGGGAGGGAGACAAATGGAAAACCACATGTCACCACTAGGGGGCACTATGAGTGCTGTGTAATGCCATCCAGGCTCAGTGACACCCCCTTGGTGTTTAAGTTCTTTATCACCGATGTTCTCAGGGACATGACAGGGAAGTATGTGATCGCTTATATTGACGACATTCTAGTTTACTTACCAGACTTTGATATGCATATTACACAGGTTTTGTGTTGAAAAGGCTCTTGGAGAATCAAAAAGACAAAGAAATGTAATTGTATGTAATTGTAATTAAATTAAATTATTATGTAATGTAATTAAATGTAATTCCATTTGCAGACAATATCGTGTCGGGGATACCTTATCAGCTCAAATGGTATCGTTATGGATGACCAAAAGGTAGAGCCTGTAGTTAACTGGCTGTGTCCTGCCTTAGTCAAAGAATTTCAAAGGTTTCTTAGATTTGCTAACTAATCAAAAATTCATACAGAATTTTAGCAGTATCGCTACCTCCCTCACAGCACTGTTAAAAGGGGTCCCTGAGGCGAAGGCGGCTTTTGGCACCCTCAAGGGAGCGTTCACCTCAGCCCCCGTTTTGAAACATCCTGACCTGGCTGAACCCTTCATGGTCGAGGTGGACACCTCTGAGACTGGTGTCGGGGCTCTTCTTTCCCAGCACTTAGGCAATCCACGTACCAATAACAATCCAAGTTACACCCAGTCGCATGCTATTCACATAAGCTTACCCCTGCTGAATGGAATTACAGAATTTGTGACAGAAATGTCCAGTTGCTTCTTGGTCAGACCATGGCATGAATGTTCTGCCGGTAAATGAATGAATGCATCATAGTGAAGAAGTCTGTGAGGAGACGCATCAACACACTGAATCAACTCTGCGACACTACAAGAGTGTTCTGATCGACATAGGAGGGAAACACCTTTCTATGTCCTTGCTGAAGGGCGTAAAAAACTGACCCTCAAGTTTATTGGTCCTTATAAGATTTAGGAAAAAATCAATGACATTACCTACCAATTAGACTTACCTGCTCAGTACTGTGTTTCACCTGATGTTTCAGGTCCCCTGGACGGGGCCTCACCCAATGGTATGCCACCCCCACCAACTGAGGTTGACAGAGCTCAGACAGCTGTTGGAATCTAGGAGGCGTGGAGGGACCCTTCAGTATCTCGTGGACTGGAAAGGATACAGACCAGAGGAGCAGTGTTGAGATGTTCTTGACCCCACACTTATAGTTGACTTTGACCGGTGGTTCCCTGACCGGCCTGCTCCCTATCCTTGGAGTCATCCCAGGGGTTGTCCCTTCAATTCCAAGCCCAGTTGAGTCGGTGGTCGCTCCATTGGTTCTTCTGTTGAGGCCTCCAGTCGTGTGGGCGGTGGTCGCTGTGGGCGTCCTTGTTGCTCAGCCGACCTGGACTCCTAACACACCAGAGCTATTGGCCAATCATGAACCATTACAGAGATCTGGCTCACCTGCTTGTTATTAATGGGCGCTTTTAATGCCCCAGTGATCTCGTTCCTGTGCATACTGAGCATTCTTTTCTGGCTGGTCTTTTCAATGTTTTTGACCATTGCCTGTATTTTTGGACTTCGATTTTTGCTCTGCCTTTTTGTAGTTTTAACTTACTGTTTTTCCCTTGTTTGTTATTGGACTGTTCTGGTTTTTGCTCTTTGCCTCATGTTTTCATGATTGCTGTTTTTTGGCATTGATCTTGGCCTGTATTAACAGTGTAACTTGGACTTTACTGTTTTCATTAAAAGTTTAACACTTTGCATCTGCGTGCCTCCGACCCAGCCTGATTCATCACACTATCTATCTACCTGTGTATCTGTCTATCAGTCTATCATTGTATACACCTGTCTGTCTGTTTATCCGTATATCTATCTACCTGTGTGTCTAGTCTATCAGTCTATCATTGTATACACCTGTCTGTCTGTTTATCCGTATATCTATCTACCTGTGTGTCTAGTCTATCAGTCTATCATTGTATACACCTGTCTGTCTGTTTATCCATATATCTATCTGCCTGTGTGTCTGTCTATGTATTTATGTCAGTCTGCCTATCAGTCTATCATTGTACCCATCTATCTTTCTGTCTATCTGTCTGTGTCTATCTGTCTATCAGTCTGTCTGTCATTGTACACATCTATCAATCTGTCTATCTATCTGTCTGTCTATATATGTGTCTGTCATTGTACACATCTGTTTATCTGTCTGTCTATCTGACTGTCTATTTATCTATCTATCTATCTATCTATCTATCTATCTATCTAGCTAGCTATGTGCACTATGTGAGTTTAACTATTTTCATTACACCAGGCAAGCACATCACACTACATCAAGTCCTTGGGCAAGATTCCCAATGCTACATTTGCCTACTTCTGTAACATGATTCAACTGTAACTCACTCTGTATAAGAATGTAAGCGTTTTCTTCACTCGGGCTCCCACTTACGGATGGCTGGGGCATCACTGGGGTTCGAGCTCACAACCTCCTGGTGGGAATGAATGCTTAGTCTGTTGCACCACTCGCAAGCTCCTGAAATCACTCTGACCTTAAATGGTTAATACTCTGAAAAAAATTGTTGTTTTAACTTCAAAAAATAATATTGTAACACATGGTGCTGTGGTCTTTGAATGACACTAACAGGAGTTTGTGAGTTTGAAGCCACAGCTGTCCATATCTGGAAACCTCAAGGGCTAATGTCTGATGGGATTGTGTGATAGAAAGAGTGCTGGGTCTCTAGGAGGCGCAGAGGGACCCTTCAATATCTCGCGGACTGGAAAGGATACAGACCAGAGGAGCAGAGTTGGGTACTGGCTGGAGATGTTTTTGACCCCACACTTATAGCTGACTTTCAGCGGCGGTTCCCTGACCAGCCTGCTCCCCATCCTCGGGGTCATTCCAGGGGTTGTTCCTCGTAATCCAGGCACTGTTGAGTCTATGATGTCGAGAAAATGATGTGTAAGTTGGGTAAACTGTGGTGCCCTCGAGTTGAGTTAATGCAAGGAAAGCAGTGTAATCAGTATGATTTTAAGTGGAGCTCACTTCTCATTTTTTACAGTGTATATTTTGGGATACACTGACAAGATACTGATATATATATATGTATATATATATATATATATATATATACATATATATATATGTGAAATGTGTGTGTGTGTGTGTGAGCTCAGTAGGGTGGATCTTTAAATGCCTTGTGTGTGAGTGTGTGCGGTGAAGTAAACATTAGCAAATGAGGACGTTAGTAGTTAAGACCTGCCCTCCCCGCACCAAATTTAGTCTTAGGAACCAATTACATCACTTTATATCACACAGACTCAAGGACACACACAGAGACGCAGCGAGGGGCTTCCCTTCTGAAACCACTCGAGTTCTCCCCCTCCCTCTCATACACGTACACACACTCACACACACACTCACTCACACACTCACACACAGCTGCCAACATGTGCCTTTCAGCAGCTTTTCTCCTGTTGAGTCTGTGGGGTGAGTCCTATTTACTTCTATTACGTCTTGTTTTGTGAGAAACAGCAGGTTTTGGATCATTTTCTGCCACTGAAGTGTGTTTCTCTTCCCGTGTGACTGCTGGGTCCTCAGCATGCTGTCCGTTTCACGGTAGACTTTGGAGAAAAAACACTTGGCGTTGATGATGACAGGTTAATGCTGTATCTGTGGATCATGTTCAGTGCACCCTGAATTTGGTCTTGATCGTCGTGTGTTGGGCCACTATAATGTTTTTTTTGTAACTGCAACACCTGTTGCACAACCTTGGCCAGGTGAATATATGAACATTTAGTGCATTTTCCTCAAAAAGAGATGTGAACTTTGGTCAGTTTAACAGTGCCTAGTCAATTATTTGTATGGGTCATCCAGTGGATAGGCTTCTACTACACTTACCTTCATAATATCACTTTTTTCCAATGTACAATACAATTAAAACATAATGGAAAACAATGTATTAGATGTAATTAGCTAGACAGGTGTATTAACAGGACTGTAGTTAATGAAGAATTGCAGTTAATTCTTAAAGGTTTTGCATAAGTAAGCCATTATGATGTGAACAAAGTTGTTCAGAGTGGTTTGCTGTAAAATGCAACATCCTAAAAAACCTAGAGAGTAAGAATTGTTCACAGTGGTGGTGGGAACCAAACATCAGGAGAGTTTTATGCCTCCACAGAAAGTTATTACATGGAATTATAATGAATGTGCCACCGGATGTCTGAGACATTGTTTTATGATAATTTTAGGGAAGATTTTGGCCTAAAATTTATATTCACCATCGTTAACAGTGGGGAGGTTCATGCAGGGTGTTGTAAGGCAAAATAGTCCAATGTATTTTTTGGATTTACAACCATTTTACCATCACCAACATTCCATATAAAAACTCAGAAGGCATGTGTAAACCAAACGGCTGTATTTGTGTTGTAGGCATCATGACCCCTGGTTCCTATCACCACCACTGTAAAGAAATCCCACGTTTTTGGAACAAACTACTTTTGGTTCCCTTAAGAAACTTCGGTAAATGAGAAGAACCTTTTTAAAGAACTTTTACCTAATGTGAAGGTTCTGTACCAAAGTTCTTCCTGGAACTGTGTACCAAGAACCATTATTGTATTTTCATGAAAATTGCTAATGTAGAGGGGTGTACAAAGTATCAGAGACAGCGCATGAATTACTAATACTTATTCGTCATATTATCAGAAACACCGAACAGGTGCACTTTGTAGGTTTACAGCTACCCAGTCAGTGGTGGTCCAATGGTGGTCCCTTTTTACTAAAGGATAGGGGCAAATTGCGCAACAGAGGGGCTACATTCAGTAACTGTAACCAAAACTACATGTCTAGTAGTTGTTTCTGATCAAATGGACAAAGACTAATTCATATGGTGTTAAGTGGATCTAGAATGATTGACTTATGCTAGTTTTGTTCACTCTACCTTTAAAAGACTATGACCTTAGCGCTTTTTAAGACAGAGTGGGGACAGGCCCCAGCTGACTAATCTCTTTTGATGAAACATGAGATGTGCACTATTGTTGTTTAATATCAGTTAAAAAGGTGCTGCTACCAGAGCTCCAAGTATTCCGTGACAAGCTACTGTCCCTTAACACTTTGTCGTCCTAACTGTCTTCCAGAGGTGTGCATGACTTCTCTTTTTTATTTTCACTCTTGGTTTTGTCCTGAATACTGTAAAGGACAATGCCTGAGTGAAACTGAGCTGGAAGGTATTCAATCACCAGACCTTCACAGAAGCTTTTTGCATGAACTATAAATCTAAAGCTCGGTGCTCTTAGCTTGACAGCAAGCCAAGATCTTTAGCTAGTTGGGGCAAAAAGGTAGAATGTGACTGGGAACGGTCAAATACATTTTATATTTGTAGTCTATGGGACGGTTTCCCAGTCAAGGATTAAGCCTAGTCCTGGACTACACAGGATTTTGTATGGAGATCTTTCATTGAAAGGAAGATATAGCCCATGACTGGGCTCTGTCCAACACTAAGTGCCATGTACTTAACATCTACATGCTTCTTCATGTACTTTAATCTAATACATACATTCAGTAATAAAAAAGTGCATTGAATTTACTCAATTGGTGACTGGAAGGTCGCCGGTTTGATCCCCTGAGCTGACAGTATGTGACTGAGGTGCCCTTGAGCAAGGCACCTAACCCCCAGCTGCTCCCCGGGCGTCATGGATAGGGCTGCCCACCACTCTGGGCAAGTGTGCTCACTGCCCCTAAAGTGTGTGTTCGACAAGTGTGTATGTGGTGTTTCACTGCACGGATGGGTAAAAATGCGGAGGTGAAATTTCCCTGCTGTGGGACAAATAAGGGTCTGTTAATCTTCTTAATTATGGCGAAAGCCTTCAGCAGAATTACTGCCAGAAACAAGCACGCTGAAAGGCAAAATTGTGTTGGTGTAGTATGTTCATGTGGAAATGATGTACGCTTTTAAATCAAGTAGGAGAGAACAGTTTTCAGTCTCTACTTTAGGATCTAGCAGCAAATGAAAGACGAACATTTCAATTCAGTAATTGGGAGATAGCGGAACTCCAGGGAGACATCTTTTTCTTTGAACACAGAAAACTTAAAAGTCCCAAGATCTCCTGACAAAATCTCTTGACATAATGGGCTCATGTCGATACTGACACATAAACCAACCTAATTCAAGCCAAAAAGGATCATAAAACTAGTAATAAATTAAAAATGAACCTATAGACAGTTTCATTATCAGAAAGTAATTCCTGGAATTTCAACATTTTAACATTTTCAGTAAAAACATAATTAAAAGTTGTCCCCACCCCACCAACAGATTGCAATATTCAGAGCTCTTGACAAAACAGGTTATGCTGGTAAAGAGGACAGTTATATTTTCATGTTCCGTTTTGAGAGACTTCCCTCTACTGACCCGGAATTTAACAAACCAACCCCCATGTTAACCAGAACTGTTCTCTGCTACTTCCAGTACACTATTTTTTTCAGTGTATTTAGGGAGGAATAGAGTGGGTTGGTTGCTCACGCCTATTTAGAATGAAGAAACACTGTAATTACCTGCTTTGTTAAGAGCTTAGAGGAGTTTCACTGACATTCCAGTTTTTAATTTGGCATCAACACAGCCTTGCAAAAAACCACAATAACCACAGTACCAGGCTGCACCCACTAAAACATACAATTTTTATGTGTACTGTATCCCACTTAGTAAACATAGCTGTGGCAATCACGGAATTTTAAATTTAGTCAAGTTGTCTCCATTGACAGTTCTGCATGTAAAGCATTGAAAAATTAAAAAATTGTGATAGTGACACAGAAAAGAAAGAGTCTTCATGAATATTTTCCTTGCACCACTTGATTCTTATTATGATACTTTATTTCCAGGTTCTTCTACCTACGGACAGTATCAGGCCAATTTCAACATGGCAGGAGTTACAGGTTCTGTCTGGTTTGACTCCATGAAGCAGATAGCTAACGTTAACCTTACTGGTACCGACACAGCAATATGTGGGCCCTTCAACCTCTCCGTCACCGAGTTTCCTGTAATGTACAGTCACATGACCCAGCCTTGTGAGAAAGCCCACATAGGAGAACGTGTGTTCACATTCACTGTGGATTCTCCTGATTCGGTGGTGAACATCTCTGGTATCTTTGAGCAGGGGTCTAGCCTGGAAGCAATGTCTCTAGTGGTAGAGACGTGCAATGGCACGAAGGCTTGTGCAGGCATCCTAGCAAGGTCAACAGTCACCACTTGGCAGGCACGGTTCTTCAAACAGGTGGCTGGGAACATCTACCTCCGCCAGGTATCAGGGGAACTAGGTGCCACGCTTCTTGCGGACCTGGTCAGCGTGGATCAGACTGACACCCCTGTAACTAATGTTAGTGTTTTCCTGTCACAAAGTTCTACAACTAGCTGTACAAAATTGCTGGGCAGTTTAGATCCAAACAGTTTGAAAAACCTGGGCCAAGTAAAGGTTGGCTCCCCCCTTGAAGCTGTAAAATCCCGTCTAGAGACCTCCAACCTTGGTACTGGATTTCGTTTTGCCCTTGTCAACTTTAGGTCAGGATACTCATGTGGTGAGCTCAGCACTTTAGAAACAAAGGTGGTCAGTGCTCCCATAGACATGAGGGGGGTCAAAGGTCAATTCACTTTTCACCAGCCATCTCCTTTTGACCTCACCACTCTCACAGTGAACCTGACCAACCTCAATGGAAGGGTCGGGCCATACCATATTCATTTGTTTCCCACACCACAGTTGAGGTCACCCCCAGAAAGCACCTGTAGTAATGACAACCTTGGGGGTCACTGGAACCCCTTTGATGTGAACACTCAGGCTTCTGTTTACCCTCCTCCTCATGGCTCCACCCATGACCGCTATGAGGTGGGAGACCTTAGCTCCAGGCATGGGTCTTTAGCAAATACCAGTGACTTCCAGGCCAGCTTCACTGACTGGAACTTGCCCTTGTTCGGACAGAACAGCATCGTGGGACGCTCCGTGGTTCTACACCAGCCAGACGGAACAAGGTTTGCTTGTGCAAGCATTGGCTATCCTGGAGAGGTGATCACAGCCAGGGCTGTCTTCCAGAGCCCTGTGGTGGGATTTATCCTGTTCACCCAGCTGCGTGAAAACCCTTATTCCGATGTCTCTGTGTTCCTGGACTTGTCTTATGGACAACCATCCACACCTGCAACTCAGAAACACCACTGGCATATCCACAGTGACCCCATTAGCACAGAGACAGACAGTGATGAGGGTCGCTGTTGGTCTACTGGGGGCCACTGGAATCCCTACAACATCAACACCAGTTCGAGTAGCTACAAAGTAAACTGCAAACCAGAGTGTCCTTTTGCTTGCGAAGTTGGAGACCTGTCCAGGAAACACAGCCTGATAAATTTGGGCCCAGGTACAGGCAAGTATTTTTTCACAGACACTACATCCTGGCTGTCTGGAATGATCGGCAGGTCTGTGGTGATCCATGGATCTGATGAGGCAGGCCGTCGCATTGCCTGTGCGAACCTCACCCTCCTTCGCTTTCCGTCAGCTCAGTCTGGATCCTGGCAAGGTCCTGGGTCCTCCAAAGGACAAGTCCACTTCTTCCAGTCCTCTCCCCAGGGTGCAACCAACCTCCACATCTCTCTGACTGGGCTGGAGGCCAGAGCAGCTGGATACCATGTCCATCTACTCCCAGTAAAGACTGGGGCAGAGGCTTGTTCCAATGAGAACATCATGGGTCACTTTAACCCCTATGGGGTGAACATCTCGTTGTCTCCTGCTCCAGGGAATGGCACAGTGGATCAGTATGAGATTGGAGATATAAGTGGGAAGTTTGGGTATCTGACAGATCAGACTCAATTCCAGAAACATTACATGGACAGTAATATGCCACTGAGTGGACCCAACAGCATCATAGGACGATCGCTGGTTATTCACTACAAGAATGGAACAAGGTCAGTTCAGTTGTGCTCCTATTACTTATGGAATGCACCATTTTGAAATGGGTGCCAAAATTCAGTGGTGACAGTTTAGTTATGAAAGCATCATGCTATTGTTACAGCTCAGGTTTCATTTGAACCCTTAAAAGCAGAACAAAGATCTGGTAAGAATACAAAATTATTTATTTAACTGTATGTCATTTGTTGGTGAGTTTAAATGTGCATTTGTAGACCTGAGACAGATTTATGGAGGAGATTTGTAAATCAGTAATAATTGCATTAGGGTATTAAAGGAATAGATCGGGAAAAATTTAATTTACATGATTTGCCACTTTCCCCCAAATGTCAATCAGCCAGTACATGTCTCCAAACTTTGCTTTTTTTAGTTTAGAACCAGAGCTGCTAGGCTACCATTGCTAATAAAACCTGGAGGTCAATAGTCACCCAAACCGTTTTGCGTAAACACAAGCCCAAAACATCTCTCAACCCACACAAACTGCTTCCAGGTTTTCATTCAGATCATACAGACTCACTATGAATTATTAAAAAAATCTGGGACAGCCATTTAGAATAACTGGAATCACTTCTTTTCTGAGCACAATTTTGTATCATTCCAAGACCACCAAAGACCGCACCGTAGGGTATGAGCCTTATATTTGAACTTAAACATATACATAAAAAAGCATCAGTTGAAAGCTGGACCCAACAGTGACTCCCAGGACCCACCTCTGAGCCCTTGACCAAGAGGAACCTAGTGGCAGGTAAAGACGACCAACATAGAGTGTCTCTGCTGCTCATTTTCATAGATTTATCATTATTCAATAACTTCTAACTGTCTTACAATAAGCAAGTCTTAGGTATTACTGTGCTAACATGCCTGCATAGTTGACATTTTACACAATGCTCCTACACTCCAGCCTCCCAGAATTTGAAGGCAGAAGATTATCAGAAAGCAGAACTGATGATGCAATTCTAGTTTTAGCATAAATGTGTACTTAAGATCTATTCATGACCTTTTCATTTTTTTAGCTTATTAACATAATTTGAAGCAAATACACAAAAATTTTGTCATAAGTTTGTGAAAAAGGTTTAGGTGACTATTGACTTCTAGTTTTTGTTAGCACTGTTAGCCAAATCATGTGAATATGCTTTTATTTACCAAACTATTCCTTTAAGACTTTGTGACTAGATCTAGGAAGAATTCCCAATAATATTGTAATGTGTTCCAGAAACTATACTCACTCTGGAAAAAAGGGACCATTTAAGGCCTGAGTGAACATATTTGGACCCTTTTAAGTCCATAATTAGGTCTTTGGGAAACGTGCTGCTCATATCAGTTTACCCTAAAGCTATTTGGCATCCATTATGGGGTCAGATATCTAAATACCAGCCCTTCTTCGTTGTAGAGTAAGAATGAAAATTTGACGCAGCCAACTATGATGTTATAAAAGCTATACAAACCATTAGTATCTACCTATATATGGATTGTAGCTTTTGTAAATCAGATGACTGTGAGCGTCTTGGAAATTCTGAACTGTTCCTTTTATACCTCATAGTGAAACAAGAACTTACAGGCCAAAACTTTTTGTAATAGTGAGTAACAGGTATATTTAGCCTCTTTGGGTTCTCTGAGTTTTAAACTAAAGATACTTGTCAGAGGAAAATTGCTGTTACCATTTCAGACGAGGCCTAATCTGTCTGTGAAATCACCCCAAACTTGTTCTGATCTTCTGCAGAATGCAGTGCGCCGACATCACAGCTGGAAACTCTTCGGATGCATACTGGGTCATCGCCAAGGCAATATTCAATGGCAGCGTGACTGGGACGATAACCCTGGTAAAACAAATATAACAGTTAGTGTTTAGTTATTCTAGCATTTCGCATGACATCACACCGTATAGTGGCCGCCTTTTTGAGGACCGAATCAGGGAGTGACTGCAAGACGCGACAGGAGCCGAGAGACGAGAGACACACAGACCTTTAATTCAGTGTTTTCACTCCAGGCTTGGAGCCGCTGCACTGTATAGTTCAGTGTTTCTCTCTGCTGTTCACCTCGTTCAACTCAAGAAGGGATTAATTAGCTAATAATATCAGGTATTTTAACCAGGAAACCACAGTTATGCAGTGCAGGGGTTTCAGGACTGGAGCTGAACTCTGAACTAACTGAACTAGTAAACTTACAGAATCACGTCTGTCGAAACACGACGTCGTTTTCAGACCCACGACATTCAGTCTGATATTTAACGTTAATGTTTCTCCATTCAGACCTCATTTAAATCTCCAGAAACAGAGAGTGAAGTTATACCGGCTGTCTGCAGCTCCGTTAGGGGGACGACTGTTCATCTCTCGGCTGTTAACGTCAGCTAAAGTTATCTAAAGGCTAGCATTGTTCACATCTGTGTTAATTAGCTGATGTCATTACCCTCCTATGATCATGAGTGTTTCTCCTCTTTATGCAACACCATGGGATCCTTTACCCACCCTGACGTGAAGAGCCGGTGGGCTTCTGTGCTTTTAAATGCTTTGAGAGACCTTTCAGAACAGAGATAAACATATCAGGAAAACACAAATTTGGCAGCTTTCCGTCAGTTTAAGTGGGATCAGGAGTTCAGAGGGGAAACTATAAGGATCTCAGGCTGTTTTATCGACTTTGTTAAGGTAACGTTTTCACTCTTCCAAAGTAAGGAGAGTAATTTTAGCCATTTTTCACCTCTACTTACTTTCGTGCAGAGCAGCGAAGCCAGAAATTCGGTCCCAAATATGGCGGCCACAACAGAAAAATCACATAACTGAAACCTGAGGATAGTTAAATTAAGAGCCAGCTGGAAAACAGGAATGTACCCCTAAAATGACCCACATCACAGAAAATTTCAGAAATCACAGAAATTTCCTCACTTTTGTTTAAGGTAGTTTAAGGGAGTACATAAACATTCTTAAATGTGCTGTTCCTTTGCAACTCCATTTAGCCTGTATAGTCTGTTTTCAGTTCACTGTAGTTGTGATGTCACACAAAGGAACTTATTTGCATATGTCCATCTATTTAGCTTACAGCAGTTCAGCTCTGCCCATTCATTATAAGGTTTTGTTTTGCATAAGGCACAATACAGGTCAGCCAATCAGAACACACATCATTTAACATCATTTACATATATCAGTCTTAAAGGCACAGTAACAAAAACAGCCTGTTTAATTATGGGGGATAAAGAGAAGTCAGCAAATGGTCAGGTAAAAATGGGAGAAGGGAAAGGGTAAAAAGTGGGATATGGGCCCGTAAATAAAAATTATTAAATTAAATTACTGTTTATGGGTGCGAATAAGAATGTACAGTGTACAGCTGCTATCAAATAAGGACAGAATATACATTTTAATGGGCCCGTGTAATGAAAAAAACACATTTCCTCTACTTGGGGGGTTCGATTCCCCGGCCGGGCGACTAAGGGGCTGTGTGTAGTTTGCATGTTCTCCCTGTGTCTGCATTGGTTTCCTCCCACAACCAGGCAAATTGGAGATGCTAAATTGCCCCCAGGTGTGAGAGTATGTGAATGTGTATATGTGTCTACCCTGCGATGGACTGGCAGACTGTCCAGGTTGTTTCCTGTCTTCTACCCAATGACCGCTTAGATAGACTCCAGCAACCCTGAGGACAAGCGGCTTAGAAGATGAGTAAATGAATTTGAAGTGACTGTCAGAGTTTCAAAACATACCGTTTACTCCCCAGTCCATATATGGAAATTAGCCTGCTTTGATTTGATTGTTTTTGTGATATCACAAGCTCATTTACATGAACCTGCCTATTCAGCCTACAGCAGTTTAGCTCTGTTCACTCATACTGAAGTTCTTGGGCTGTTTCAGCTCGGAGTGCTTTTTGAATGAGAATCAGATCTGAGCTCATTTGTATACATCAGTCTTAAAGGCGCAGTAACAAAAACAGATTGTAATTGGGATAAAGAGAGGTTGGAAAGTGGTGATGTAAAAATGAATTATGACCATTTTTGGTTCATAAAGCCACACAAATGTTATAAGTGGAGCTCAAGAGGGAAAATAAAATGCAAGAAAAATGTATGATATTGGTCCTTTAATATATCCCTACACACACATATGTATATGTATATTATTGTATGTGCAAACTTTACAGCCACTGACTATAATGGAGCGATACAGTTTCTTTTGAGATGCCTGCTTCATTCCCATCCAGCTGGCACACTGGATGTAGAGCATCTCGAGTCCCTCTCACCTTCAGTCCAGCTGAAGAGGGGATATCTCTTTAAATCTGCCACAAAAAGATGACGCTGTCTGCTTTCTCTCCGTTCTGTGGAGTGGAGGGCAGAGGCTGGGGTTGGAGAGGAGAGAGGAGATAATAAAAGTGGGCACAGCATCACTGCGAATCACTCTACCAACATTAAGCACCGCATGTGAGAGCACAACTGCCTCTTTAATAGGCCCACATGAACAAATGTAAGATGTAATATAATATGTACAAGACTGTGCCTGCCAGTTAAGGGAAAATCCACCAATTTCTCAAAATTACTGCATAATGAAATGCCTAAGATGCAAACAAAGTCATTCAGAGTGGTGTGGTGTGAAATGCTCTGTTCAAGAGAAACCCACAGGGTCAGAACTGTGCACAGTGGTGGTGACAGGAACCAGATGTCTGAAGTGTTCATGCCTGAGAAATTGTCTTACAAGGTTTTGGCCTCAGAGTGCTTTTTTTAAACACTGTTCTTTGTGGGGAGCTACATGCAGAGTGTTGTAAGGCAAAATAGTCATCAAAGCAAACTTATTTTTTAATATTTACAATTATTTATTTATTATTTAACATTACATATAAAAGCTCAGAAAACGTATGTAGGTTGAATGGTGGTTTTGGATTGTAAATAAAATGGTTATATTCGTGTTCTAGACATCATGACCCCTGGTTCCTATCACCACCACTGTAAAGAAGTTGTTGGTAATTTTCTCAGTGTACCATTCCACATCAAACCACTCTGAATCTTTGTTTACATGATTTGTTTGTTTGTTTGTTTACATGACGTATACAGAAATTTTAAAAAGTGGTGGATTTTCCCTTCAAGTACAAATTCATTTTTCAGCAAGGGTACTGAAAAGAGTACTGAAAACCCCTACTTAAATAAGTTGATAATTTTCTTGAGAACAATTTAAAATTTGCTGTTTTGGACTTTAGCCTTATAACTTATTTATGTTTATTGTATTAAAACAAATAAGTCAACATTCCCTTTTGTCACTGCCAAAACAATCATAACACTACCGAAACTTTACCAAATGTTTCAGTGGTGACAATTTTAGCCCATTTTAGGCAGAACTAGTACATGACTAGCTAACACAGCTTTGAAAAGCTGTACACACATCAAATCATTTTTCATTACAATAACATAAAAATGGTACTTAATTGCAGAAAATGTGTTTCGGTAGTGACAATTTTTAATATTTTACACTGGTTTTCAGACTTTGGGACACATTTACTTCAAAACAGGGGGAGCTAACTGCTCACCATGTGGCCACGAGAGACAGGGATGAAGTTAGGGGCGTGGCCTACAGACTGTAGGCTCTGCCTACAGACTATAACTGTGTTTCGCTAGTGACACGAAAACGTGGGACAAGTTTTTTATTTAAAAATTAAACTTGTGATAAATCTAAATCTTTCAGTATCACTTTAAAAGAAAATCAAAAAGATATTTTTTTAAAAACTATACTGACAAAAAAAATATTTTGTGTAAGTTGTGTAAATTTAGGCATCAGGGCAATAGAAAGAACCCTATATATGATGATTTTATATATATTTAGGTTATTACTACCTCTATTAATGCATTGGCTTTCAATAGATTATAAAACAAAGTATCTTAACTTAATAAATTTTTAAGTTTTTATTATGGGACAAGAGTTTGAACTAATTCAGTAGAATGGTCCCTATTCATAGTGTACATTAAATTCATTACACATAAAATTAATGTTAGCTAGCTGCTTGATGCTAAGAATACTCATTTGTGCATATGTCCATGTTGTTTCCCACTTTTGTAGCCCAAACAGGGTCAAAAATTAGCTATTTTCAAGCTTCTCATTTCTAGGCCCTGAACATTTTAGGGCAACTGATTGTTAAATGCTGAAATCACAGGGTCTCGTAGCTCCAACACTATGAGAAAAGTTCATAAGAAAGATAATGCACATGTACATTTGAGTCTTCTGTTAACATTTGTAGCATTTTTGTCAAGAATACGATCTCAAACAGCGACAGAATGTTGTATTCTGATTTCACCTACCGCCTAAGTAACAGTATGTGTGTTCTGTATATCCCGTTAGTCCCAACAGAGTTTTCCTGATGGCAGTTACAGTGATGTAAGCCTGCTGGTGGACATCCGTGCGTCCAAAACACCCAACGTGAGTAGCTAATCATTACCCAGTCCTATTATATAAGTCCCAGCAATGTTACCTCACGAAACAATTTAGCATTGTGCTGTTTTCCCACATGTAATCCCAGTTCTGTGTCCATTTTAATCAGGTCACCAAAGCCTCCTGGTACATCACTGAAAGTCGCACCGGTGGCCTGCCTGCTGGATGTACTGGAACAGGAGGAACCTTTAACCCTTTCAACATGACAGCTCGGGTCAGTCAAATATGCCAATAATGGAGATATAATATGTACAACATAGACATCTGAAGTCATGTCTTCATTCTGTAGTTGGCGTCATGGCCATAATAGTCCTGCTAGAAAACCATATGTTGTGTATTGGATTCTACTAGGCTGGTCAGCAGTAATGGGAGCTGTTATGATGATCACCAGTAATACCACCATTTGTGTTTTGGATGCTGCTACATTGGTCAATCAGCATGACTATGCCAGGTGACCAGCCAAACCAGCACCAGACCAGCATAAACCAGACTAGATTAACATGGCATGGAGCTCATGCTGATCACAAGATTGGGGGCAGTCATGGGCTGGAGGTTAGGGAACCAGCCCTATGACTAGAAGGTCGCTGGTCCACCCTCGGACCACCCAGATTATTGTCCTGTATACAAGCTCTACCTAGTTTTTAATCTCCTCAAAGAGATTTTAAATCACAGAGACTTTTATTTTAGAAAATAAACTTACACAAATTTTACAAACAACTGAGAGGAAAAAAAAATGACTAGGTCTAATAGAAAATGATTCTATAGAAAGTGTTGTTGCTAAAATTCTGCTAGATTAAAATTATTTACTAATCAAAGTGTAACTAAAGAAAGGAAGGAAGGAAAAATCAGTAAATTGGACTGTGAATGGAAAATGAGAGATGATAATTGGACTTTTGTCTAATAATCCGCTTAACCGCCAGTGGACCGCCCGGAAAATGCTGAGAAAAATGCCAGTGGTCCGCCAGCTTTGCCATTAGCGGGCCGACAGTGCTATCAGGGTATTATGGGACTATATGATAGAGGGACAAACTCATGAGGACTATACCAAGAATATCTCCCTCTTTCTCTCCCACTCGCTCCCCCAAACAGAGCTCCCACTGTTCTCAGCTCACTCCTCTGGCCTGTGAGGTGGGGGATCTGACCGGTAGGCACGGCTCTGTCAGTCTGACCCAGAGGCAGCTGTTCACCGACTCCCACCTGCAGCTGGCTGGAGACTTCACAGGTACCCCAGCACACAGAATGTGAAGTTGATGAATCAGTCTAGCTGGCTATGTTTCCTCCTTTACTTTTCCGCTGGAGCTCCACGGCTAATGCTAACAAGTAATAACACCTCAAACCATGTTCAGTTATTCATCTCTAATAGACTTGCTTGTGGTTTCTGACACTGTATAACAGACTGTTACCTATAAAAATGGACAGAAATGCAAACAAACTTCAGGCTTCAAGATGGCTGCTACTACTGTTTTTAGCTTAGCAGCATACTTTTGTCTACTTTTTATGGAAAACAGTGCGTCATACCACATAACCAAAAAAGAAACAACAAGTCTATGTGAGATTATTTTACAGTTCAACTTGTTTTAAGGCAACTGTGAGATGATTTAGGCAGTTAGCATGATGCTAGTTGGTAGTGTGTAAGCCATCATTTGTTAGCTACATTAGCCTCATAGCTCCAGTTTTGGCTAATCTAATACATTTGGGGTAACTGTGCCAAATTACTACTTTAAAGCCTGATTGAGATTTGCTGACATTAAATGACAGCCATTTCTCTACTAATGCATGTCTAGTGGTAAGTTTAGCATGCAATTTATTGTCCTGCACAATCTAGTGGGTGCATTGCTGTTAGTCATAAAGTCTTGTTTTCACTGTACTCCAAGTACAGTACTTCTAGTAGTTAAACCTCCAAAAATGTGAGACAGCAAAGCTACAGAACTGACATCAATATTAAGCTACATAACCAACTCATATGAACAGCTGGCCAGGCAAAAGTACAGCCTCCACATGGCGGGGTTAGTTTTAACAGTGTAAGTAAACAAAGTCAGTAAATCAAGGATGAAAAATAGCATCAAGTCAGATTCCTAAAGCTTTACGTTTGTTAACCTTCATAAATAACAAGTGACTTTTCATCAGTTGTCTACAGATCGCTGGTGCTAATGGTCGGGAATTACACCATCGCTTGTTCGGACATTGTCCCAGAATCACCCTCAGCTCAGCAAATCTTCCCTAAAGTGACATTCTTCAGCAGGTATGTATTTACAGAAGCCATGGTAGCCATGTTCTCTTCACTATGGAATGGCAGCACCAAATCTGGATCTTTTTGTGAAACTCATGTCTTCACATTCAGTAAGGTGAAATAAAGTTAAATAAAGTTTTCTACCAGTGGATTCTTACTGTTGTGGTGGAAAGACACCATCATGAGCTTGTGACTCCACCTTGCTGGCTTATAGTCAGTGGTTACCAACCTTGGTCTTTAGAGATCTACCTTCCTGAGTCTAGTTCCAACCAAGATCTACCTCCAGTTAATGAACTTTTTCAGAAGTTCTTGCTTGGCTGGATCAGATGTACAACACTAATTCCAAAAAAGTTGGGATGCTGTGTAAAATGTAATTAAATGTAAATAAAAACGGGAATGCAATGATTTGCAAATCTCATAGACCCATAATTTATTCAGAATAGATCACAGAACACATATCAGATGTTGAAAGTAAAACATTTTACCATTTCATGAAAAACATTAACTCATTTAGAACTTGATGACAGCAACGCATCTCAAAAAAGTTGGGACAGGGGCAACAGAAGGCTAAAAAAGTAAGTGGTAAAAAAACAGCTAAAAGAGCATTTTGCAACTAACTCACATGACTGGGTATAACAAGAGTATTTTAGAGAGGCAGAGTCTCTCAGAAGCAAAGATGTGCAATCTTCCAAAAACTGCATCTAAAAATTGTGGAACAATATTGGAAAAATGTTTCTTGCCATAAAATTGCAAAGACTTTGGATATTTCACCATCTACAGTACATAATATCATCAACAGATTGAGAGAATCTGGAGAAATCCCTGTACACAAGGGACAAGGCCGATGGTCAATACTGGATGCTCGTGACCTTTGGGCCCTCAGGTGGCACTGCATTAAAAACAGGCATGATTCTGTACTGGAAATCACTGCATGGGCTCAGAAACACATCCAGAAATCATTGTCTGTGAACGCAGTTCGCTGTGCAATCCACAAATGCAAGTTAAAGAAACCATATGTTAACATAATTCAGAAACACTGCCATCTTCTCTGGGCCAAAGCTCATTTAAAATGGACTGAGGCAAAATGGAAAACTGTTCTGTTTTCTGTGTTCTGTTCTGTTGGTCTACAGTCTGTAATTGTACACCTATATAGTGGGCATAGTGTTCAGTACCAGTAGCACAATTTTTGTCTTTTTTTTTCGTTTAACAAAAGTATTGCATTAACCATTTAAGAACCACGGCCATTTTGTACATAGCCCCTCCATTTTCAGAGTTTTTTCTCAGTTTAAAAGTAATCAGACAGTTGGCTGATAAGCAATTTCATGGCCAGGTGTGTCCTCATTCCTCGTTATTTCTTGAGATAAAAGATCTAGAGGTGATTCCAAGTGTTGAATAAGCATTTGGTAGCTGTTCATGGGAACTCTCAATATGAGGTCCAAAGAGCTGTCGATGCACATGAAGGGGGCCATGATTAGGCTGAAAAACAAACTTATCTCAGAGATACTGGAAACTGTACGAGTGGCCAAATTTGGTCCATTTTTAAAAAGAATAAATGTACCAGCGAGCTCAGCAACACCAAAAGGCCTGGAACACCACGACTAAAGTGGGCGATTGTAGAATTCTTTCCGTGGTGAAGAAAAACCTCTTCACAACATCTAGTCAAGTCAAGGACATTCTAGAGGAGGTTGGCGTCTCATTGTTAAAGTCTCCAATCAAAAGACACCTTCATGAAATAAATAGAGAGGGTTTACCTCAAGATACAAAAAACACTAAAAAGCAGAAAGTCTTGATTGATTGCTAGAAAACATTTAAAAAAGCCTGTCCAGTTCTGGAGCAAGATTCTTTTGACAGATGAAACCAAGATTATCTTTACCAGAAAGATGGGAAGAGAAAAGTTTGGAAAAAGAAAAGAAGGGCTCATGATCCAAAGCATACCACATCTTCTGTTAAGCATGGTGGAGGTAGTGTTATGGCATGGGCATATATGGCTCCCAGTGGAACTGGTTCATCAGTGTTTAATGATGATATGACCACTGATAGAAGTAGCAGGATGAATTCTGAAGCGTATAGAGCTATACTTTCTCCTCAGATTCAGTCAAACGCTGCAAAACTGATAAGACGGCGCTTCACTGTACAAATAGATAATGACTCAAAATATACTGCGCAAGCAACCCAAGGGCTTCTTAAGGCAAAGGAATGGCATGTTCTTAGATGGTCAAGTCAGTCACCTGATCTAAACCCAGCAAATAAGCACCATTGCTTATTGTTACCGATTTCCAAACGTGCATGTTTACGTCTGAATTACATCATATTATTATAGTTGTGGTTTGCTAGAATAAAATCACAGACATCATCTGGAACTTGAGCTAGACATTGTAATGTGGCTTTGTGGCATTGTAATGAGTTGAGGCACAAGGTGTTCCATGCAAAAGTCAGTGCAGAGCAAACAGGGAGCTGAAACTGAGAGGGCAAAGAATACAACACAGAATACACTTTTAATATGTTCATTCATAAGAATGCTATTTTAGCTCTGAAAGTGTTTGATACTCAATAATTCCACAGTGAAAATAGTGACACTTGAGGTACAGCTGGGTAGTTGATCAGCCGAGACAAGGCCCGATGTCAGAGCTAATCATTAATGGGGCACATAAAAACCCATGGGTGGCCAGTGAATTCACACGGCAGATGAAAAAGAAGCTAAGGTGAAATATCTACAGTAGACTTGTCCAAAGGAGGCACTCATTCAGGAGAGAATCCACAGGAAAGCCTATGGTCAGCAGCCACTAATGATCTCCTCATTCAGGGTGTTTTCACACTAGAGTTTCTTTGGTGTTATATAGACCCAGAGCTGCTCGCTCTGCAAGTTTGTTACAGTTGGTCAAGTGTGAAAGCAGTTTTCGAGCCTAGGAGAAATTCAGAGAACTGATCTCTGGCCTGCGGTTTGCTTCCAGTGAACTCTGGTGTGGTTTGCTGAGCGTGTGGAAGCTATGGCACTAGGTGTGGGGTTGCATGACTGGTTCAGTTGTCACGTGACTGCTTCAACTTTGCATTACTTCCCTTTTCAAGTTTTGTGATGTCATGAAAAGGATTGTTGTCGACATAGAGATACAGGCTATATTCACATTACCAGAAAAAGGCTGGAAAAAGAATGAATGCCCTACAGTCCCACCTTGCTGGAACTGCAGCATGTTTGTGTAAAAGTATTCTTGCTGTTTGGTCAGGTATGACTTCCGTAAGAGGGTGGCGGATGTTCTAGACGTCCATGTGTCCCGAGTGTCGGTCTTGCCTGGAGCCCTATCGCCCATGCCAGGAGGGAAGTGCCAGCAGGTCACCTTTCTCGTGTCAGGTAAGGAGATTCACTTTTACTACTGACAACAGGTTGGGAGGGACTTTAGTGTCAAAGCACAGTAGACAATTTCTATTCTTGTTCCATGTTGTTGGCCAGCTTTAGCTTCTTAAAACTGGTATTGTGGCAAAGTTTTGTTATGGGACATAATAAATCACTCGTAGTGATGAGTAAATTGTCCCAGATAAGACTTGTACACCCCTTTCAATACTGGTTTTAAGGAGCCCTCGTCCACTTGGCCTGGTCATTTCCTCTCGAGGAAATCCCCACCGTCATCTTTAGGGCTTTTCCAGAACTTTATTAGCTGAAGTGAAGGGCTTTAGATGAGCCTGGAGTGACGAGGGATTGCTCGAACACCAGTGTCGACTTCCACAGCAGAACTTGCCCAGAAATCATTGCAGCCTGATGCATTTCCTTCTTCAAACTTGAAAATAATGGCGGACAAACCTGTTCACAAGCGTAACATTTCAAAACCATAACATTAGATTTGCTGGCCTAACTACTCCATCTGTTACACATGAGTGCTGATATGACTTCATAGCTTTCCTGTGCTATCTGGCTTGTTAGCATGTTAAAGGCTACACAGCTAACAAGAACAAAAAGAAAGGCATTACAGTACAGTTCTACACCAAGTTTATAGCCAGACAAAGCACTCACTCACACACGTTATGTACGTTTTGCTCAAACTTCTTAAAAAAACATTTTGCATTGCAAAGTTAGCATGGCTAGCCGATTAGCTCACTGAGGATAACCGGCCGAGATCGAGTCGTTCCGTTAATAATAATCCACTCCTCACTGTCCCCTCCTTCCCTTCTGCCGTGAGTGGACACTTGTGTAACGTAGGTGACCCACATCCAAGTGGTGAGTTAAAGTAGGTGAGGGTCTTTACTACAAGTGATTTTGCCTATTTAAGTGAGAAATTTAATTTCATTTAATGATGATAATTTAACGAAATGCAACAACAACCACTTTCGAAATATACATGTTCTCTGTCTTTCAGGAGCGAGAAAATGTAGGTTTGGATGTTTATTTTATGAGAAATCCAGGAGAGAAAGTTGAATAACCAACAAACGTCCCATATAAAACCCATTTTACCGCGCTGTCCATAATGCAAAAGGATGGTGGAAGAAATCTGCAATATTTAAGCCCGTTTGGTAAAAATTGCAGGGCTTCTTTGCTTTACTTATTTCATTCATTCTGCAGAACTTCATATAAGCAATAGAACACCTGAGGTCATATTTTATCACGAATAACATCACAGTTGTGATGATCTGCTGATGATCTGCGCTCGCCTTCGTCTCGTGCCTGCAACCAAATCACAGTCTCTTGTGTACTAGTACTCAAATTTCACCCTATCCTGTACTCACAACAGTTATTCTGTAACAAGAGATTAATAAATGATAGATTAAAATCCACCACACAGTAAAGAGACCAGTTTAGAGACAGGACTGTGTGCCACATTAGAGATCAGCTCACTTGGCTTGACTCAGCACTTCTACACTTTCTTTTTATTTGTTTTGCGCGCGAATTGTCATGAGTACACTTGAGCTCCATGAATAGGTGGAGTGGTTTTACTACACCATTGTTTTTCTCCATACACGCTTTGATGCGTTCTTCGAGCGTTCCCCTTCTCCGTCCTCCTGAGTGGGTCCGCTCTGTCTGCGCGAACAATGAACAATTCAGTCCTTTCAAAGAGCGCACACACTCGCGCCCATAAAAAGGGAAGATTATGCAGTAACCCGAGGCCCGGCTCCAGTGTGTGAGAACGTCCGGCCATCTGAAACAGTAGAGGGGTGGGTGGCGGAGGGGCTTACGTATAGACCAGTATGTATTACATGCGACACCTCTTGGAGTGAAAGTGCTGATCTAGGTTCAGTTTTTGGTTAGTTAATCCTAATGAAAGCAACAGACTGTGAATGTATCCCTTAACAAATCTACATGTACTATTGTTGCGTTGCTATGCTATGCTAGGCTGTCAAACACATTATTTTTGTAATTAATTGATCAATAGCAATAATAATAATTAATTAATTCATAATCCCATGCAAACGCTTGGGCATTCCTGGTCAAATGGCATGTTTTTGTTGATTTTTTAAGTGAAAATAAGTTAACAGATACTCTACAGAGAGCCAGAGTGCCAAGTTCACCACATGTTTGCTTAGACTTTATGTTTGAATTTTACTATAGGTCATATTCAGCAAATAAACAGAAATTGTGCATTAAAAATTGCATTGTTCTTTTATAAATCCTTAGCCATTTGACTGGGGATGTTCAAACTTTTGCATACAACAGTATAGGAATGGACAAAAGCTTCACCCCTCCAAAAGTGAGGCAAATTATTATTAAATCTAAAAAAAAAAAAGTGGCTGAGTGGCTGACAAATGACAAAAATGACAAATTGTTCTGACTCTCTAAATACAACTGGGCCACTGACTGACCGACTGACTGACTAACACCAACTTCAGCACTACATCTAGCATATAATGGCTGCAGTAACAAACCTATTCACAAAGCAGTGAACCTGCAGGTTCACTTGTTTACACCAACGCCGATGAATTATAAAGGAGGAGGAGACCGATCGAGATAGCTCAACATGTGTCTGTTTACGCCCTTCACAGGGAAACAAGCTGGGTTTGTTGGCCAGTGCTGCAAGTGGGAAGATGTGCACAGTAGCCTAAACAACTCCCCCCCAAAAAAAAAAATCGGTATTATTTGAACCAAATGCTCCAAACTGCTTATGTGATTTTTGCCGGATTTTACCAGTGATTTGAAATCTGTTTTTTAAACGTTAACATATCAATCGGTTCCAAGGCTTTAGGGTCTCCCCACCCAAACAGAGCAGCATCACCTTGTAGGAAAGGATTAAACTGCCCTCCTTTCTGATTATTCTAGTTCCAGTCAGTTAGCAAACATGTCTGAATAATATCAAATCTTAGTTTAACAAGCAGGAAATAGCAGTAGGAAATAGATATGAAACTAGATATGGAACAAAAACTGTGACCAAGTGCATTAGTTCAGTAAAATTTTGTGTTTTTTGTGTTGTATTTGGGAAATAGAGAAATTCCCTGCCCACCTAGCTGAGATGGAGATTTTGATTGGTTCCACTGCTGAGTTTGACTGTCTGTTCATGGCTGTAGGTCAGTGGTCTGTGCAGTTTAAGGATAGTGAAGATTTTTTGTAACGTAAGCGTCCTGAAGTCAATCAGTGGTGGGGTGGCGTCCCAGTACATTAAAAAGTGGTGGGTTCCACAGGTTTTATCACTGAGGTCTGGTGAGAGCAACAGTGGCTGCATGTTCCCACCAATGATTGTGTGTGTATATATAAAATTAGTGCTGGTAATAATTGTGTTTTCAACATGTTAACTTTGATAGCCTTTATGCAATTTCAATATGCCTTTGTTATTGACTGTAGTCTATATGAGTGGAAATGTGAATTGAGTACAGAGATTAATTTCTTGTGTATACAGACTGTGACAGCTGATCCTATATCAGCACTATTATTCTGTAATGCCTGATGGTTACAGTATATGCATGGGACTGGCATTTACAGTCATTCAGACCACAGGGACACACAGGTTGGATATAAAGACTCTGAGTGGCAGCATTACAGCAGATCAGGTGGTTATATATGGAAATAATTTGATACTTCTTTGTGAGAAAAGCACCATGTGGTTTCCCAAAGAGAGATGTTTACCATGACATCAATCTCTGTTTGACAAAAGACTGTTTTGCACGTTTACTTGACCTTCTATATGCTCTGGTTACAGCATTCAGTATACACAGTCTCCTCTGAAAGCAAGGCCAATTCTTTTGTTTTTGCCATACAAAAGATTTGAAATGATAGATCAAAATTTCAGTTTTTATTTCCCGATATTTACATCTAGTGCTAAACAACTTAGAACATGACAGCCCTGGTGGCAGACCATTCAATCTTTGGTGAGGAAAAGTACATAAACAGATAGTCTCAAAGTAAATAACACAAGTAAATAACAATTTTTGATTGCTTGCCTTAGCAGCATCAAGCCGGCGACCCACTGACTTCACCAAACTGTTGCAATTTTCCTTTTGTGATGCTTTTCCAAGCTTTTAGAGCAGCTTCTCCTCTTCAGAAGGTGAAATTCCACTGTTCTTCCTTGATGAAGACCTTTGTTGTGTTTGCAGCAGAAGTCTACACAGGCTTGATTATTAATGCCTGGAGCTAAATCAGAGACATCTTAACCTGAATTTGTGATGCTTGAAAAAAATACGTTCTTGAAAACTTTCAGAGCAAACTTAAGATATTTGAATATACTTTGATACTTGAATATAGCTCTTGTGGAAATTTCGGTAGCAAAAATTCAGATTAAACATTTCAGGCAGTTAAAAGCAGGTATTAAGTAGTAATAAGTAGTATTAACCCCCACTGAGGGGTCCTCTCATTTGCTAACATTTGCAGCTGAAGCTAACAGTGATTTAGTAAACCCTTTTCCAGACGAAGATAACATTAGCAAACACTTTTACATGCCTAATAAGTGCACTAGAATATAAACTAGAACTGCATGTTTATGTGTTGATTGCTATTTGTATTTAAAATTTTGAGGCGATATACACCAATCAGGCATAACATTCTGACCACCTCCTTGTTTCTTCACTCATTGTCCATTTTATCAGCTCCACTTACTATATAGGTGCACTTTGTAGTTCTACAATTACAGACTGTAGTCCATCTGTTTCTCTGCATACTTTGTTAGCCCCCTTTTACCCTGTTCTTCAGTGGTCAGGACCCCCATGGACCCTCACAGAGCAGGTACTGTTTGGGTGGTGGATCATTCTCAGCACTGCAGCAACACTGACGTGGTGGTGGTGTGTTATTGTGTCTTGCGCTGGTCTGAGTAGATCAGACACAGCAGTGCTGCTGGAGTTTTTAAACACCTCAGTGTCACTGCTGGACTGAGAATAGTCCACCAACCAAAAATATCCAGCCAACAGCGTCCTGTGGGCAGCGTCCTGTGACCACTGATGAAGGACTAGAGGATGACCAACACAAACTGTGCAGCAGCAGATGAGCTATCGTCTCTGACTTTACATCTACAAGGTGGACTAACAAGGTAGGAGTGTCTAATAGAGTGGACAGTGAGTGGACACAGTGTTTAAAAACTCCAGCAGCACTGCTGTGTCTGATCCACTCAGACCAGCACAACACACACTAACACACCACCACCACGTCAGTGTTACTGCAGTGCTGAGAATGATCCACCACCCAAATAGTACCTGCTCTGTGAGGGTCCATTGGGGTCCTGACCAAGAAGAACAGGGTAAAAGGGGGCTAACAAAGTATGCAGAGAAACAGATGGACTACAGTCTGTAACTGTAGAACTACAAAGTGCACCTATATAGTAAGTGGAGCTGATAAAATGGACAATGAGTGTAGAAACAAGGAGGAGGTCATAATGTTATGCCTGATCAGTGTACACTAGTTAAAGGTGCAGTGTGTAAGATTTAGTGGATCTATTAGAGGAATGGAATATTGTATATAAAACCATGTATTCATTGGTGTATAATCACCTGTAACTATGAATCTTTGTGTTTTGTTAGCTTGGAATGGGCCCTTCATATCTACATAGTGAGTGGGTCCTCTTCCAACAGAGGCTGCCATGTTTCTACAGGAGTGTTTTTGCATTGAAGCAGCAGCTTGAATTTGTTGGTGCTGTAGCACTGGTTGGAAGACGTAGACAGAAGAAGAATCAGTGGTTGCTGTCAGTGCTGGCTAAAGATTTTGTGTTGTGAGAAGTTTGAGAACTCAAATTTTGACAAATGGAGGCTCAAACTTATTATTTAACACAAGAAAAAGCAAAGGAGGGTGAATCCTTGCCGTCGAAGAAGTAAAAAAAACATGAAGAAGCAAAATGAAATTGGGACAGAAAACCTGATGTTCCTACACGCTTGGAAAAGGAGGGGTGAGGGAGGGATATTCAGTTGGTTGCAGTCTGCAACCTCACCACTAGATGCCACTAAATCTTACACACTGCACCTTTAAGAAGTTGTTAGCATGTCTGCCAGTGGCCACAGAAGTGTTTTTGCTCATATTGTCACACTAGACAGAACAAATTGAAGCTTTGTTTGATTCTACACACAATTCTGAGTAAATGTAGATGTTTGTGCGAATTGTCAGTCGGCTCTTGATCAAATTTGAGACTAGAACCAGAAACGTAAGTTCAGTTGGTTTGTGGTTGGGCCACTTTGTGAATGTGCAGTGGATAGACACCTTCCCAGATAGCAGACAGCTTTGGGCCGATGCTGACTTTTTTACCCGAGTGTCGGTTGACTACTGGGTAGATGTTAGGCAGGTGGGCCAGATGCTGTACAGCTGCATACAGTTTTGCCTCGTGTCTATATTTGTGAGAATATTCTGCTGTGGACCAACAATGCAGTTGGGCCAGATTCAGGCCACATGCATTGATTTCTACTGACTTTACAGTGTATAGGCCAGATCTGGGCCAGAGGCGCCGCTGTATACTGGGCCAGAACAAACCCAAGGATGTGGTCCAGACAAATTTTGCTAACTGAACTTATGAAGCAAATTGCTGTTGTCGGAAGAAAACCTTGTATCTCCAAAATGGTAACTTTACAGAAGAAGGAAAAAACATACTTTACTTTTAATGTAAGTCAATGGAACCAGAATTTTTTCCAAGTCGTTTTGGGCTGTTTCTTTCGGTCCATTCATCATGAAATTTACACAGAATGTAAAGGACAACAGGCATTTTCAAATTATGTCAAAAACTGGAAAACGACAAAAATGGACATACGAGGTTTTCTTCCGACAACATTGAAATGCTTCTTTATTGAACCCTGCAATGAAACGTGTGGCTGGTAAACAAAAATAAATCACACAGTGTTGCAAAGTTATTAACATTTTCCAATATCTTGGTTAAATAACTCCCAGAATTAGTACAAAATCTTCTTGTATCACTGCGGCTTTATCTGTGTTATCCTCTTGGCTGTCGTGATGTCACCCTGATTTGTCCTATAGTGAACCTACAAGGCAGGTGGAGCCCATAAAGTGGACAGTGAATGGAAGTACAAAGCAAGTGTCTCTAAGAAAGAGTATAGTTGAGCTAGAATCACTTAAACGATGCCACGTTCCTTTGTGCCAGATTGATCTAATACCTCTTCACACTGTCCCCCCAGGTCAAGTCAACCTGAAGAAGCTGGCCTCAGTAAAGGACAATGAGAAGATGGGCATCTTTAAACAGACTGCAGAATGTGTGAGAAGTAAGTTTCAATGAAAAACACCCCACACACTGAAATACATCCACTTGCATGCGTTCTGTAATGCAGTGGTCAGGACCCCAATGGACCCTAACAGAGCAGGTACTATTTGGGTGGTGGATCATTCTCAGCACTGCAGTAACACTGACGTGGTGGTGGTGTGTTAGTGTGTGTTGTGCTGGTCTGAGTGGATCAGACACAGCAGTGCTGCTGGAGGTTTTAAACACCTCAGTGTCACTGCTGGACTGAGAATAGTCCACCAACACAAACACTGTGTCCACTCACTGTCCACTCTATTATTCTGAGATATTAAGTCAACATTTGGAGAAAATGAATAATTATTCTCAGATTAAGTCACCATTTCGAGAAAATTAGTAAATATTCTGAAATTAAGTCAACATTTAGAAAAACAAGTATTTATTTTGAGATATTCAATATTTTGAGAGAATAAGTCATTGTTTTCTGATACTAAGTCAATACTTCCAGCTGCCAGGAAAAGAGAAGAGAAAAACATTAAAAAACATTAAAAATTTCTTTCTCCTCTACCTGCTGTATAGTTATTCCACTAGTATTGGGTTCCATACCTGACTGTGTTACCTTTAACATTTAATCTAAAATAAAACATCATTTGAAGGTAGGAACACACTTTAAACGTACATGTTTTTAGCAAAAACTGACTTATGCCCTGCATGAATGGGATATGGGACATATTTATGGGCGGGGCCTGTATAAATCAATTATCTGCCAATGAGGACAGTCCACTCGCATAAGTTTGCTTGAAATAAGTTTTTGAAGTTTTCCAGATGTAAGCTAAAAGTGAATGTAAGTTGATTGCATGGTTGTCACATCAGTGGTCAGCTGTTCAAACAGTTCAGTTAACATCTGGTTTTGCTGATATAGTGAACTTCTCTCTGTTCTATTCAGGCGGCGCCCGTGGTCTGATGACCCATAGCTGGACCATCCAGATCCTCTCGGTTGCTGCAGTTTGGCTTCTCCAGGCTCCTGTCCTGCAGTGGACGTCACTCTGAGATTCAGCGCCCGCTAGACCATACGGGTCAGACTCCGGTGTCTGAGTTAGTTTCACACCGCAGGTTTTATTGTGGATAAACAGTCAAACTGCTCCATCTGTAGTCTGTTACATTCACTGGAAAGAAAGTTGATGTATTTATTCTTATTAATAATGCATCATTATTGCTATTGGTCTTATTAGTATCAATATTATTTCCCTAGTATTTGGAATACCTCACGATATTGTTGAAGGGAATACTGATTATTGTTGCCTCCTGCTTTTGTGTCTGGTTGTAAGGGACTGTTGTGCACTTGTGTATGTGATCATTAATGTGTCTGTGTAAATAATTAGCATATGATAACCTTGTATCATGGTTTCATTTCCGTTCTCAAGATTGTATATTTTGTAAGTTGCATGTTAAAATATCAAAGCACTTGTTTTGCTGCACTAATTTGGGATTGTAAAAATAAAAAATGACCTTGTATTGACCAGCTGAGAGCCAGGAATGTTTCTCACTGTGGCCTTATATGGTTTCTTGTACGCTGCGATTGAACTGCTTAAAAATACACTTTTGTATTTTTTTCTGTCTCTTTTGTCATAACAGTTTGATCGTATCTCATACTTGTGACTTAGCATCCCATAATAATGACTTACTATCTCATAATTATGATTTAGTATCTTATAATTCTGACTTAGTGTCACATAATTACGACACAGCATCTCATAATTGACTTACTCTCCCATAATAATGAGATTCTATCAAATAATTATGACTTAATATCTCATAATCATGACTTAGTATCCCATAATTATGACACAGTATCTCATAATTATGACTCACTATCTCATTATAGTGAGATTCTATCCCATAATTATGACATAGTATCTCATAATTATGATGTACTGTCATAAACATGACTTAATATCTTATGATTATGATTTAGAATCCCATAATTATGACATAGCATCTCACAATGATCACTTCCTCATAAGTATGACTTTCTCATAATTATAATTTAGCATCTTATAATAATGACTTGACTAAGTCATAATTATGACTTGGTATCTCATATTTATCATTTATCATTTAGCATCTCATGATTATAACTAAGCATCTCATAATACTGTCATAATTACAATTTCATATCATAATTATGACTTAGCATCTCATAACAATGACTCACTATCTCATAATAATGAGATTCTATCCCATAATTATGACATAGTATCTCATAATTATGACTTACTATGTCAATCATGACTTAGTATCCCATAATTATGACTTATTATGTCATAACATAGTATCTTATGATTATGAATTAGAATTCCTCATAAGTATGACTTTCTCATAATTATGACTTAGCATCTTATAATAATGACTTGACTAAGTCATAATTATGACTTGGCATCTCATATTTATGATTTAGGATCTCATGATAGCATCTCATAATAATGACTTATACTCAGTCATAATTATGACATAATACTATGTCATAATTATGACTGAGTATCTCATAAGTTTAACTTCTTCATAATTATGATGTAGCATCTCATCATAATAACTTATTGTGTAAATATTATTACTTAGTATCATTAATGAGAAATCTCTCATAATTACGCATTAGCATCTCATCATTATGACATACTGTTTCATAATTATGCCTTAGTGTCTCATAATTATGACTTGGAATCCCATAATTATGCAAAGCATCTCATAACAATCACTTCCTCATAAGTATGACCTTCTCATAATTATGATTTAGGATTTTATAATAATGAATAAGTCATAATTATGACTTGGCATCTCATATTTATGATTTAGGATCTCATAATAATGACTTATACTCAATCATAATTATGACATAATACTATGTCATAACTTACTTTCTCATAATTATGACTTACCTTTTCATAATTACGATTTAGCATCATGTAATAATGACTTACTATGTCATAATTATGACTTAATATCATAATTGTGATTTAATATCTCATAATTATGATTTAGCACCTCAACATTGAGTTACTGTCATAATTATGACTTAGCATCTCATAAGTTTAACTTACTGTCTCATAATTATGACTTACCTTCTCATAATTATGACTTAGTATCAAGTAATAATTACTTACTACATCATAATCTTGACTTAATATAATAATTGTGACTTAATATTTCATGATTGTGACTTAGCATCGCAACATTGACTTACTATGTCATAATTATGACTTAATATCATAATTGTGATTTAATATCTCATAATTATGACTTAACATCTCATAAATTTAACTTACTTTTTTATAATTATGACTTACCTTCTCATAATTCTGATTTAGCATCTCTTCATAACTTACTGTGTAAACATTATTACTTTGTATCATAATAATGAAAAATCTCTCTTAATTAACACTTACAGTCTCATCGTTGTGACTTGCTATTTCATAACTGTGACTCAGTACCCCATAATTATGATGCAGTATCTCATAACTATGAGAATATTCTCAGATTATTTTACATGAGACAGAAAGTCATCAATATGAGACACTAAGTCAAAATTATGAGAAACTTTCTCATTATTATGAGACACAAGTCATCACTATGACAGACTATGGCCTCAAATCGGGGCCCCATACAGCTCACACAGGGTCCTTCAGGCTGAAACCTTTCTAGCCGCCCTTTTTCTCCCCCCTCCATCACAGCCTCTCAGCCTGTCAGCCTCGCAGCCCCACAGCCTCACAGCGCAGCGGCTCATTGAATAAAAGAAGGCGAGTCTCCAGCGCGGCGACCTGACTGGAAGCGCGAGCCCGTCACGTGACGAGCCCACGTCAGCAGCGTAATGGCAGCCTCCTGTTTTCTGAATTAACAACACGGAACGGGAGAGTTTAGAACGGCAGGTTTCCGCTCAGAGAGCCTCGGTCTCCAGAGGTACGTCTGGTCACCCTACTTTGGTTCCGCAGGCCCGTAAACTCCGGTCGGAGAAAACGGAGACGCGCGCGGTTTGTTATTTTTCCCCCGCTGCTGGCGCGTGAACGGCGCTGTGATGTCTCGTGCTGTAGCTGCTGCTGCTGCGCGTGCTGTGTTTTGAATCTGCCCGTTAGCGAGGCGGCTACGAAGTTAGCTTCTTGTTCGAATCTTTCCCGTTCCACCTTAAATAGCGCAGCAGTTCCATTCTGGCGCCTCAAGCTGAGTAACTGCTGCACCATTTAAGGTGGAACGGGAGAGATTCGAACAAGAAGCTGGGGGATAGGAAGCCAACTTCAGCCTCATGAGGTGGCTAGCTAACGGCGCCGCCGAGCGCGGCGAGAAAGCGACAAAAACAACTTTTCTTTTTCGTTAACAGCCATTTTGGGCCTTTAGTTCAGCTGGCAGCGGTTCAGCTTCGGTAAAACGGAGGAGGTTTAAAATGAAAAGTACTTTGAAGCCGCTCAGTTTCGACTGAACGGTGAAGGGAATGTGTCCCTCCTCCTCTTCCCACCCACAGAATTCATTAAATACTGCTCATATACGCCAATATAACGGGCTTTATGGTGAATTTAATGCGGTACCGGTTACAAATATCGTGCATTAATAACGTGATGCCGTGTAAACAACAATCTGACTAATCTGACAGCTTGTTTGTTTTGCCGTGGTGGGGCGTCATGCGAGGATCCAGCCAATCAGCGATCCCGGCTGTGTTTCCATTGACGTGATTGGACGGCGCGGCGCTCTGAATTCATTCACAGGCTCTGTTGTGATAAATCAACGGAAACGCAAGTTTTCACGACTCGACCCCCTGTAGGAATACAGGGACCACCATAAGAGAGAGAAAACTGAACTGAGGGTCCTGCGTTATTTCTTCAAATTAAATTAGAATTTTCAGATTTTCTGATAAGGAGAATTGTATTTTATTTCAAGTTACTTTATTGGTGCAGCTTTTAAGGATTATTTTGACATTTTGTTCCTTCTTTTTTGTCTTTTTTAATATAGTGGTGACTTTTATTATGTTATGCTAGTGTTAAAATAATTTTCCACAGACTTAAAATTCTTAAAGGGTTCCTTAGTAAGGAAAATGGTTCTGTGTAGAACCATGGACAATCAAAGAACCATTTGCAGGATCAAAGGGGTTCTTTGCATGATTAAAGTTTCTTCAGATTGAAGTACACTCTTAAAAAGATGGTGCTTCAGGGGATCTTTAATAAGGAAAATGGTTCTGTACAGAACCATTGACTATCAAAGAACCCCTCGCAGGATTAAAGGGTTCTTAAGAAGATCGGAGGTTCTTCAGATTGATGTCTATTCTTAAAAAAGATGGTGCTTCAAGGGTTCTTTTGTAACGGTAAATGGTTCTATTTAGAACCATGGACAATTAAAGAACCCCTTGCATGATTAAAGGGTTCTTCAGATTGATGTACTCTCTTAAAAAGATCCTGCTTAAGGGTCCTTTAATAAGGAAAATGGTTCTATATAGAACCATGGACAATCGAAGAACACTTTGCAGGATTAAAGGGTTCTTTGCGTGATTAAAGGTTCTTCAGATTGATGTACACTCTTAAAAAGATGGTGCTTCAAGGGTTCTTTAGTGAGGAAAATTGTTCTGTATAGAACCATAAACAATCAAAGAACCCCTGCATGATTAAAGGTTCTTAAGATTGATGTCCACTCTTAAAAAAAATGGTGCTTCAGTGGTTGTTTAGTGAAGACAGTGGTTCTATGTAGAACTATGGACAATCAAAGAACCCCTTGCATGATTAAAGGGTTCTTGAGGTTGATGGAGAATGTGCTGTAGATGGTTCTGTACAAAAGCTTTTTGAAAAGGGTTCTTCTGTTGTTATACGCTTGAGATCGTAACATGTCAGGAAAGCGAGGTTTAGAGTTTAGCCATGTTCACCACCAGAACCTCTCCTAGCCAGAAAACCTGACAGAATCCCAAATCAAAGCACTGCAAAGTCCTAAAAGGCATTTTTTATTTGGCAGTTTAAGTTCTGACCTGAACAGTTATGCAATTGTCTATCATGAAGTCAAGTCAGCATCTTTATAAATTAGCATTATCATCTGAAGTGCAGCAGTAAGTCAATGTTTAACTGGAGAGCGGTCATAGTTAGCAGTTTTATGAGACTTAAAGGTTGGAGAGCTGACCACGGTCTGACTTTGCACTACCTCACACTTTGTGAACTTCGGAGGAAAAAGGGAAAAAGCATGAGCTCAGGTATATTTTCAGCTGAAGTTTGGTCATCTGTAGACTCTTCTACTGTAGTTGTTCTGTTTTGGAATGATGGGTTTATGCTGTATTGAGACTGGCTAACAGTGAATGACATGAGCAGATTTGACTGAATAGCCTAAATGGCTACTATCTTTCATTCAGTGTTAGCAACATTTGGCACATTTGGATTTTCTTTTAAAGGTGCAATGTGTAAATTTTAACAGAGATCTGCTAGCAGAAATGGAATATAGTAAACAAAACCATGTTTGCATTAGTATATATTCACCTCTAACTGCAAATTGTGTGTGTCGTTAGCTTAGAATGAGCCCTTCATATCTACATAGGGAGCGGGTCCTTCTAACCAGTGGTGGACAAAGTACACAAATCATGTACTTGAGTTAAAGTAGAGATTCCCAAGGTAAAATATTACTCCCAGTAAAAGTAGAAGTTCCTCCCTTTAGACCTCCACTTGAGTAAAAGTACAAAAGTATTTGCCTTCAAATGTACTTAAGTATCGTAGGTAAAAGTACTAAAAGATTGATTACGAATCTGATGTCCTGTTATCATTTTTGTGACAAGACTCACTTCATCAACTTATTTTAGGTGAAAATACTCCAGTGTCTCTCTTGGTAAATCAGTCTCTTAATAGAATGTCATTAATTAGTGACGCTGATGTCTATTAATATTATCATAAGCACAAAACACTGAAGGCAAACAGTTTCCATCAGGGAGAGCTGAGTGGCTCTGAAATAACTTTTTGCAAACAAGCAAAGTTTCAGTTTAAGATTTATTTGCAACTTAGTTACAAGTTTAAGTTTAATAAAAACTTTAAACTCAGATTCACAGATGAGTTTTCCTTTCCTATATTGCATCTGTAGGTCTCTGTTCATAAACAGCCAATAGCCAAATAGCCAAAACAAATTTACTATAAAATGAAATGTGTTTGTATAAATTCAGAAAAAAGACACGTCAGTCACAACTGCATATGTGTACATATTTCTATATTGTGGTCTATTTACACAAAGTTAGGTTAGTTCATCATTTATGTTGATTAGACTCTCACAAAATTTTACGCTGCTGCACTGATGTTGAACTGTGTGCTGCACTGGGTCGGTATGACCAACAGGTCAAAACAAGCTCAAAACAAAGTGTGCACTGTGCCCTGATTGGAGTTCTTGCTTTGTGCTTCTTTTGTTTTGACGTTACATTTTTATACACACATAAACCAAAAGGAACGACAGATTTCTCATAATGTAGTGGAGTAAAAAGTGAGATATTTGACTTTGAAATGTAGTGGAGTGAAAGTAAAAAGTCGCCCAAAATGGAAAAACTTCAGTAAAGTACAGATACACGAAAAAACTACTCAAGTACAGTAACGAATTACATTTACTTAGTTACTGTCCACCACTGCTTTTAACACAGGCCGCCATGTTGCACCGGCAAGTTTATACCGTAGAACGGACAAACTAAACACTGGCTCTAGACAGTGACTTTGGTTTTTATATTGAAGCAGCAGCTTGAATTTAGTTTTGCTTTAGCTCCAGTTGGAAGACGCAGAAAGAAAAAGAATCAGTGGTTGCTGCCGGTACTGGCTAACCATTCTGTGTTGTGAAAGTTTGAGAACCCAAATTTTGGCAAATAGAGGATCATATTTATTATTTAGCCCAAAAAAAAAACGACAGAGGGTGAATCTTCATCAACTAACACACAAAAACATGAAGCAAAATAAAATCGCAACAGGCGACGGCTACTAGGGAGGGAATTCAGTCGGTTGCAATCTGCAACCTCACCACTAGATGATGCTAAATCTTACATATTGCACCTTTAAGTGATTGTGGATGTGTGTGCAGACGCTGCCATGTCCCCAAAGATCACAGTGGAGCTGCTGAGGCAGCTGAGGCAAGCGATGAAAAGCAGCAAGTACATCAAGGAGCCCATCCAGGCCTACATCATCCCTTCAGGAGACGCGCACCAGGTAAAAACACTGACCATAGCCACAGGTATCAGAATCTGCAGAAAACCTCCAGTCCAGGATAGTCTGTGATAGGAAACAGTGCTTAGATACCTGTAAGACCTAAAGTCAACCCGAAATCAAAATAGACCTTGCTGACATTGTTAGCTAATCTTTATGACATTGTTAAAGGGGAATCGTACTAATTTTTTAAAAAAAATTGACACATTTATGTGGTTAAGATGTAAACAAAGTCATTCAGAGTGGTTTAATGCAAAATGGTTCCTATCACCCTAGCAACCACCTGGGATACCATAGTATAGTAGAGTATTTATCACCTTAGCAACCACCTGGGATATTACAGTATAATATGGTATATATTACCTTAGCATCCTCCATGGGATACCTTAGTATAATATAGTATTTATCACACTAGCAACCACCTGGAATATCATAGTATAATATAGTATTTATGAGAGTGGTTTGGTGTGAAATGGTTCATTGTAGAGAAACATACTGACTCTGATGTCTTTGCAGTGAAGGTGATGGGAACCAGGGGTCACAATATCTACAGCACAAATACAGCTATTTTTATTTACTACCCAAAACCACCAGTGAACCTACCTTTGCTTTTTGTGTTTTTATATGTAATATGGATTATGATAAAATAGTGGTAAATCTGAAACAATACGTTTTCTTTGGGACCTACAACGTCCTGCATGTGCTTCACCCTGAGTGGATTTAAAAAATATGTTTTAGGCTAAAAACTTCTCAAAACTATGATAAAATAACGTCTCAAGCGTTAGGCAGCATTTTCACAACCATTTCATGTAATAGCTTTCTGTAAGCTTGTAGAGGTGGACGTCTGGTTCCTATCACCACCACTGTGAACAATTCTGACTCTCTAGAACAGAGCATTTCACACCAAAGTGCTCTGAATGACTTTGTTTACATCTCAACCATTTCATTATGCAGAAATTTAGAAAAATCAGTGGAATTCCCCTTTATGTACTGGAACTGGTAAGGATCTGGTTAGTCCTGTCAGCTTGCCTGCGTGTGTGTGTGCTCGCCTCCCGGGCTGTGATTGTGAAATCATCCCTGATTATTAGAGACTGCCTGACCTCTGAGACGTGCTGGAGAGGGTAACCCCCACCGCCTTTGTGTTGGATTATCAGTAATTAGGCCTGATTGCTTATAAGTCTTCTGTCAAGGCCTCTAACGTCTTACTAATTTCTACTAGAATAGGGGACCTAATTCTAGATCAGCAGTATTACTCTTACTTTTAACCACAGGATGCACATATGCATTAAATGTATGTCTTTAACCAAACAGGCTAATGTAAACAGATTGTGTTCTAAGGGTGTAGGACATACTGTTATCTATAAATATGGGCAGAATTACAAAATACTTGTGTAGATTGTGTAAATTATAAATTAAGATGTAAACAAAGTAATTCAAATGGTTTGGTGTGAAATGCTCTGTTTTAGAGAAGCTTATAGAGTCAGAACTGTTCACAGTGGTGGTGATAGGAACCAGATGTCCATCTCTAAAAGCTCCCTCACAGAAGGTTACTACATGAAATGGTCGTAAATACAATGCCTGGGACACTATTTATGATCATTTTGAGAGATAATTTTGGCTTAAAATGTTTCTTTTAATATTGTAATATATTATTTATCACTCTAGTAACCACCTGGAATATCACAGTATAGTAGAGTATTTATCACCTTAGCAACCACCTGGGATACAATACCATAGTATAGTAGAGTATTTATCACCTTGGAAACCACCTAGGATATCATAGTATAGAAGAGTATTTAGCACTTTGGAAACCACCTGGGATATTGTAATAATGGCCTAGCAACACTTTAGCAACCACCTGGAATACCATAGCAACTACCTAGCAACGTTTTAGCGGCCACTTGGATTACTTTGTCAAGCCCCTTCTAGTTTTGTCTGTACTTTTTGTTAATGTTTATAGAAAACCAGAATATCATGCATGTGAACACTTCTCATCGCATTTCTCTTTATTCTCCCGTGCAGAGTGAATATATTGCTCCCTGTGACTGCAGACGTGAGTTCATCTGTGGATTCAATGGCTCAGCAGGTACAGTTGTGTGTGTTTTATTATTTATTTTTTCTTTTTATACTAATATTCATTATTACCATATTAGTTTTTAGTTGTTTTGGCAAAACAGAGCCAAGTGTTTCACCACTTTGAGGGCGTTTAAAGGACTTGAATAACTACATAACTGAATAACTCATCGTGACACTGGCACCAGATGACTACTCAATAAAATAACACTAACTCGCTCAAGACGAATGACAAATTTTGAGACTCAATTGAAAGATATTGTTACTGGTACTATCACAGCTCATATGGCCTGTTTATGAATCCATACTTTTGTACTTTAAACAGTCAAAATTTAAAGATCTGTTCCACCAATTTTTTACATAATTTTATACTGAGATGTAAAGAAAGTGGAGTAATGTGAAACGGTTGTTTGTAGAGACTCTTTACAGCGGTGGTGATTGGAACCAACACAAATGCAACCAACATCACACCATGATAGGGTTCTTCAGATTGATGGAGAATGTGTTGTAGATGGTTCTGTATAGAACCCTTTTTGAAAAGGGTCCTATATAGTACCAAAAAGGGTTCCACTATTACAAGCCAAAGAACCCTTTTTTGGTACTATATAGAATGCTTGCTTTGCTAAGAGTGTACGCTCGAAAAGGAAAAAAGGTGGCTCTTCAGGGGTTCTTTAGTAACGTACATGGTTCTATATAGAACCATTAACACTCAAATGCATGAGTAAAGGATTCTTTGCATCATGAAAGGGTTCTCCTTGTTGAATAATGTGTTGTAGATGGTTCTATATAGAACCCTTTTTGAAAAACGCTCTTTATAACACCAAAAAGGGTTCCACAAGCCAAAGAACTCTTTTTTGGTACTATGTAGAGCGGTTTTTGCTAAGAGTGTACACTCTTAAAAAAGATGGTTCAGGGTTTCTTTAGTAAAGAAAATGGTTCTATATAGAACCATGAGCACTCAAAGAACCCTTTGCATGATTAAAGGGTTCTTTGCATTGTGAAAGGTTCTTCAGATTAATTGAGAATGTATTGTAGATGGTTTTATATAGAACCTTTTTTAAAAGGGTTGTATATAGCACCAAAAAGTTTCTGTTATTGTTACAAGCCAGAGAACCCTTTTTTGGTATTATATAGAGCCTTTTTTGCTAAGATTCATTGCTTCATGTCTTAGAATTAAACTAAAACTGATATATGTAAATGACCTCTGCTCTGATTGGCAAATGAAGTACACCATACAAAAGCAGTCTGGGGTGACGTGTACAAAACATGTTTGCATACTACATCAAACTCGTATTTCTAAAAAAATACAGACAAACGTGGACGTCTATAAACTGCATTGCAAGTGGCAATCATCGGGGTCCAAGCACTCTAGGCTTTTATCTAAAAAAGCCTGAAAAGGTGGGTGGCTGTTTATTATTCATGCATTTACATGCATGTTGCTTGGTTTTAGGCACTGCTATAGTGACAGAGCAGCATGCCGCCATGTGGACGGACGGACGATACTTCCTGCAGGCCAGCCAACAGATGGACAACAACTGGACTCTGATGAAAATGGGTATGACATTACAGTGATAGTTGATGGGCAAAAATGTAACATGAGTCAACATTTAAAATTTTTATTTCCATCTAAATATGATGACTTTTGACCCCCTGTAAAATGTCTTCTGATTTTCATTACATCACCGTGTGCCGGTGAGTGGGGAAAAATAGTATTAACCAATAATATCATCACCCTCCCATGTAGGCATGGTTGCAATTACTTGAGCTGACTGCAACGATTTTCTTCACTTATTAGCTTTCACAATCATATGTTTATGTTCCAACAAACAGAATTGGGCACATATTCAGCTGTTGGGTTGAGGCAAATGCATGTAAACAAAAGAAAGCAGAAAATGCATTTAGTGAGACCAAAAATGTACTAACTTCTAAATGATGCTGTAACACCTTTAGAGGGCAGCAGTGAGTAGTGTTTGTTTATTTGAGCTAAAGCTGGAAGCTAGTATATTTTGACAGCAAGGATGCAGGATGGCTAACTAGCCAATGTGGCAACTTTGGGCCTGTACTTTAATAGTTGCAGTGGCAATGAATGATTAGCTGAAATTTCCTGATCGTGACAGGTCTACTTCCACTACCCCCACCTATCATCAGGCAAAAACGCTCAGCTAGATCCCGACCAGCTAGAGACCCCTCCTACCGTGTTTCACTCACAAATATGTCAAAGGAAAGGAAGTTGTTCACTACAGGATACACAATTAATCGCTTTCTGTCATACATAAAATGCTGTGATATTAAAAAGACTATAAACATCATATTGAGCTAGCCTGCAAACCCTGTGAGTCCTGTGATAAAATGCCATGTTGGCTCTGTTAATAAGTGAGTGTGCAGCTAGACCTTGTATGTTTTCTCCTTGTCATTAATGTTTTCCTCATGGTGATTATGGTTTGTCCATGAGCTGTTTAATTTAGTAGACTATTTTAACTAATTAAATGAACTGTATGCTTAATGATGTGTGCAGAAATAATCATTAAGGCTATGAATGTTTCCGGAACTCAAGTAGGCCCCCCCCACATACCCCAAATGTGGTCAGTCAGCCAAAACATATTTGATGTCTGAAGTTTGCTTCTTTAGTTTTGCACTGGAGGCTAATGTAGCTAACGGCAATTAGCATTTAATTTGCATACCTCATACATACCTCATACAAGTTGGTTTCATTTTCACACATTTGGATTTCTGTGGGTTTCAGTAGCTTTTGAATGGTGGGCTAAAAGGTTTACAAATTTTCATTTAGTTTTTGTCTGAAGTTGATGTCCTCACTGATTTTTGTGAACGGTCCTAACCACTATGAGAGCTAAACCACCATCTACAAATTTCAGTGCAAGTGGTAATCATCGGGGTCCAAGCACTCTGAGCTATGATGGGGCCAATAGAACACAAATAATAGCCAAACTTTTTAGAATGGCCTTGATTTCTAATAGATGTGGAGGCTCAAAAGAAGATGCCAAATTTCATACACATTGACCTTCTGACTTTGGTATGGAAAGCAGATTTTTAATAAATAAATCAAAATAGCACAATGTTTGGACAACTTGCCATAGGTGTTGAACTGAACAAAATTATTCCACAGCAGTTATTACTCTATTTTAGTGCCAGAGTGAAGCAGAATGATGCTGCTGGACAGTCAGAGATGTCAGGTCGGATTTCATGGGAGTTATTTGCACCAGATATATATATGTTAATGTCACAATCACAGGCTCAAAAAGAAGGTCTGGCTTGATTTTTAGGTCTCAAATGCAAAATCAACATTATACTGATGAAGATATGATGACAGTAGTAGATAATTCACTCACGTCTCCAGAAGACATGTCCTTCACCATGTTCTGACTGAGTTCTCTTTGAATTCTCTTTCAATGCGCTTGCGATCATAAGATTCTTCCGCTCGGGGAAGGCGTCTGAAGCACAACCCACATTACATAATGTTTTTCCACACATTGCATGCAATTACATTGCGTGTCCACCAGATATGTCTCCAAATCCAACACAATGTACATAGCATAGCTTCACGTAATAGACTGTAATAGGTTTCTGAACTGTGTGACATTCTGTTATAGATAAACATGGGCAAAGTACATGATGCTACCATTTACAGCTCTGCAACAATCTTTTTGACTAAAGAAGCAAACTTGGAAAGCAAGCATGTCTTGCTGCCCGACTGCATTTGGGTTAAGGGAGAAATAAGGCCAATTGAATTTTTCACCAAATTATTGCTTAGAAATCCTGAGATAGGCTTAAGTACATTATTTTGGTCTGATATAAATATAAGTGACAAAACTCTTGTCGTCATCCAGGCCTGAAGGAGACACCATCACAGGAGGACTGGCTCATCAGCGTTCTGCCGGAAAACTCCAAAGTGGGGGTCGACCCCTGGATCATTGCTGCTGGTCAGTGTTAACACTGCTCAATTAATATCTCTCAAAAACATATTCATTATACAGTGGAAATCTAGACAGCTACATCCATGTCTCTTGGATGCTAAGGGAACTTTGTGAGAATTGAGTGTTATTTACCTTTTTAAAATTACATTTTAAAGTTATGTTAAGGGTTATTCGTAGCTTCTTTAATACTTTTAAACAGTTACAGGATTGTTTCATTTTTGACCATTGATGTAAATTTTTTTCCATGCCAAGGAGGAGAGCCAGGAGATTGAGATGCAGTGTCTTTATTTGAGAGCACTTTGTCTACCAGCCTACAGTAGCCCAGTCTGAAAGCAGTTCTTGCATACAGGCTTTTATAATGTGTATTTCCCCTGCAGCCATTGGTACATCTGCTAAGGATCATATCAGGACATTCTATTGTAAATACATACAATTAGCTGCTTGTGCATTTACTTACAGACAAAAAAACATTCTTGCTCTGTAATTTAAAATATGGGAGATGTAACCAAAAATATAAAGTAAGTAACTAAAACTAAAGAAAGAAAATCAAATAAACAACACTATATAAATTACATTGGTCAATATTGTTAGTTATTGAATTTTTTACTCCTTAAAAAAAGTCCTTAAAATTGGTTCTGGTATTTTGACTAATATTAAATTTTATTTGCTGGAATTGATATTGTTTCAGACCAGTGGAAGGCCATGGCTAAAGCTCTGAGCGGTGCCGGACACTCTCTGGTTGCTCTTCAGGAGAATCTCATTGACGCCATCTGGGAGGACCGACCTGTCCGGCCGAGTACACAGCTCAGTGCTCTGGGGCTTAAATACACAGGTAACACATACACACACACACACACACACACACACACACACACACACACACACAAAGGTGAATAAAATTAATTATATATATATATATATATACGTGTGTACAGTGTATATACATATATATATATATGTATGTATATATGTGTGTGTGTGTGTGTGTGTGTGTACAGAGACCACACTTCTGCACATTTTAAAGCACAATTACCGTTTATTTGCTGAATTTAACATACTGGGAATAAAGCATAAATGTGGCCTGTGCTGAAGTTTTCTCACCCATCTGTGCAAATAAATAGAAATTACTTCATGGATATTAGGCATCTCCAAGTCCAGTCAGCAGTGCTGTGGCTGTTTGTAAAGAGATAATCGCCATAACTGATGCAGCAAAGGCTGTAAAACTTAAATGCTCAGTTTAAATCTCATTTTTAAAACATATTAACTGATATATTTGGTTGTATTGCCTTGATTGTATTTGATTTATTGATGTACTGATAACAAATGAAAGCTGAAATCTAAATGGCTAAGATTTCCCCTCTGCATTATCAGTGCCTCGTCCCAAACCACGTACTAGTATACCAAATAGTCTGTAGAAACAACAGTGTATCTTTAGAAGTGCACTCTTTAGCGTAGTGGGTAAAATATGTGTGGTTTGAAACGCGGTGTTGGATCAGCCAGTGAGACGCGTTCAACAGTCCAGCTGCTTCATATATATACATACTGCATCTAAAATATCTACATACGCTACAAAGACAAAAGTTTTGGGACACACCTCCATATTGCATTCAGGTGCTTTAGCTACACCCATTACTAACAGGTGAATAAAATTAAGCACACAGCCTTGTGGTCTTGATAAACAAACACTGGCAGCAGAATGAGTCATACTGATGACTCAGTGTCTTTAAACATGGAACTGTCATAAGATGCCACCTCTGCCGCAAGTCAGTTTGTGCAATGTCTGTCCTGCTAGATCTGCCCTAGACAACTGTAAGTGCTATTGTTGTGAAATTGAAGCACCTAGGAGCAACAGCAGCTCAGCCACGAAACGGTAGACCATACAAACTCACAGAGCGGGGCCACCAAGTGCTGAATCGCACAGTGCCTATCCTCTGTTGAATCACTCACTAAAGAGTTCCAAATTGCATCTGGAAGCAACATCAGCGAAAGAACTGCGCATTAGGAGCTTTACAGAATGAGTTTCCATGGCCGAGCAGCTACACACAAGCCTAAGATCAAAATACACAGTGCCGATAATGATATGGGGTTGTCTTTCAGGGGTTGGCCTAGTCCTCTTAGTTCCAGATCTTTGGGATGATCTAGAATGGAGACTGTGAGTCAGGCCCTCTTGTCCAACATCAGTGTCTGACCTCACAAAGGCTCTTCTGGATGAACGGACAAAAATTGCCACAGACACACTACAAAATCTTGTAGAAAGCTTCCCTGAAGCTGTTATAAAAGGGGGACCAACTCCATATTAATGCCTATGGATTTAGAATGGGATGTCATAAAAGCTCCTGTAGGTTTAATGTGTAGGTGTCCCAATACTTTTGTCCATATAGCTCATCTTTTTTTAGTCATGTTGGTCTATGTTGCTTGGTCTTCATCCACCTGCAAGGTTGTAGCTGTAGCAACAGTGATTAGACGAGCTCTGTCAGAGTTAAAGCTTGCCTGCCAAAATGGCGACGGGTCTTTCTTAATGACGTAATCGAATACTATGAATTAGAGGATGTGTTAACTTATCTTCACAAAACATGCAGTAGACTGGCTTTTGCACACGACTGTGCATTATTGAAAGCATTGCTTCCAAACGTTTCAATGGTAGTGTTTGTACTAAATTGTCTTTGTCTCCTGAACAGGTCTGAGCTGGCAGGATAAGATCGTGCAGCTGAGGGGGAAGATGGCAGAGAGAAAGATCTCCTGGTTCGTGGTGACGGCCCTGGACGAGATCGCATGTGCGTATCAGAAAGCTTCATCTTGTGCGCGTGTGTGAGTGTGGAGTGGTCAGATCACGACCCACCTCTTGGGCCCCTCTTGTCCTGCCAATTAGCTGGAATTAAAAGACTCTTATGGCAAATTGGCTTGTGGGTTTGGTTGATGCTGTTAATTGGGCTGACATTGTTTTTGATTTCTAGTGGGCCAAATTAAGGTAGGTGTGTGATGCCTCAGGGTGAATCCTCAGAAAGGGTTTTCCTGAGAGACTCATTACTCATGCTTTGTGTCATCTGTAGTGACATGGATATAAAGCAGTAGCTTAACAGTACATTTATACTGATGTGTTTTTATAGTTTTTCACTGATTCTATGAGGCTAATGGAAATCTTGTACCTTCACTCTTTTATCATACATACTTGCCTTAAACTATATCTAACTGCTAAAGAAGAATTCCACTGATTTTCCAAGATTTCTGCATAATTAAATCATGAAGATGTGAACAAAGTCATTCAGAGCACTTTGGTGTGAAATGCTCTGTTCTATAGAGTCAGAATTGTTCACAGTGGTGGTGATAGGAACCAGACATCCACCTATTCAAGCTTACAGAAAGCTATTATATGAAATGGTTGTGAAAATGCTGCCAAACGCTTGAGACGTTATTTTATCATAGTTTTGAGAAGGTTTTAGCCTAAACATATATTTTTTTTAAATCCACTCATGGGTGAAGCACATGCAGGACGTTGTAGGTCCCAAAGAAAACGTATTGTTTCAGATTTACCACTATTTTATCATAATCCATATTACATATAAAAACACAAAAGGCAAAGGTAGGTTCACTGGTGGTTTTGGGTAGTAAATAACATGGCTATATTTGTGCTGTAGATATTGTGACCTGTGGTTCCCATCACCACCACTGTAAAGACATCAGAGTCAGCAAGTTTCTCTACAATAAACCATTTCACGTCAGACCACTCTGAATGACTTTGTTTACATCTTAATGTTTGAATTATGCAGATATTTTGGAAAATTGATTTTTATATATATTCATATAGACTAGCTTTTTTGGTTTCTAGCACTATTTTCTATCTGTCTATCCAAAAATGGTCAAAATTATGGCGCATTGCTAAAAACAGTAGTATTGGTCATGTTGATACTATAGCAATAAACCTAGCAGCGCCTTAATAACCAACAGGGATAGTGTAGCAATGGCTTAGCAACACATTGGCAACCAGCTCGGATGCCGTTAAAACAGCCTAGCAACACCTTAGCTGTGATATCAAAGTAATGGCCTAGCAACACTTTAGCAACCACCTGGAATACCACAGCAACAGCCCAGCAGCACCTTAGCAACCACCTGCAATACTTTGTCAAGCCCCTTCTAGTTTTGTCTGTAATCTTGTTCATGTTTATAGATAACAGAATATCATGCATTGCCAGAAACCACAAAAGCAAGTCTATTAGAAACGTGAGTAGAGGTTAAAATTGTGAACATTTAGATTTATGACTGAACTGTGCTTTTAAATGACAACATTCTCTTCTTTTTAGGGCTTTTTAACTTGCGTGGCTCAGATATTGAGTATAACCCCGTGTTCTTTGCATACGCCATCATTGGAATCAACAGCATACGGTAACGTCACTGCATGACTACTTGAATTTTGAATAATAAGGAATACAGTATGGTTTCATTTACGATTAGAATTTGTGTTATGAGTATCCCACACATGTTCATATCATATAATATTCACACGAAATGCAAATTTAATACCTATATTAAAGGCCTGGGCATTTCCAGTCTTTCAGTAATTGAATAGTGACAAGTAATTTGATCAATATCTGAATAGAACATCATTTCAGCACAACCAACAAAGATCATTAATAGCTTGTACATAACATGAAATATAATGTATATAATATGATATAAAAGATGTTTCAAGAATTTACAATGATAACAATAATGAATAACACCAACCAGGTGCTATTTGTGAATGAGAATGATTTATTTACATTTATGAAGATGCATATTTTTGAAAAAAGCCACATATTTTCTTTTAGAGTCTGTGTTTTTGACAGTGTGGTGATTTCACCTTCCATTTCAATCAAATTTTACTGTGTAAATTTTAAAGCAGGCGCTGATTTTTATTCTACAAAATACATTTTTTAAACATTGACTCAATTTAAGGCCATTAAAAAACAACCTTAACATAAACAATATGTTGACTACTCGTCCTTTTAACCCTCGAAACCCAAAGCCTTCAATTTGTGGGCAAAAATGTAGGTAACTTCTATCCTTAATAACTTCAGAATGGTTTAAGCTACAGACATGATCCACATATCAGACCATTCAGCCCTAACTAGCTAGCATGACGTCATCTAACTGTGACGTCAGCATCAGTGAGTAATTCGGCTCAGAAATCACCCAAAATCCTGTTATTATCGCTCTGTTTTTTGGCCTTTATTTTCCAACAAAGGGTTAAAACAGCGACATGATTCACACATCAGGTCACTCATCAGACTCTGCTTCACCATCCAGAGTGATTTTATCCACCTGTGACCATCCATCAGCCAGCAATCCAGCTCCAAAATCACCCAAACCCCACTTGCTACTGTTATACTACATCTCTGCTTTTAGTCTTCATATTATAAACAAAGGGTTAAAAATAGTGACATAATTTACACCCCAGAGCACTCAGAGGAACCTGCTATCACTAGCCAGAGTGAGAGAAACCAGCTCTAACATCACACAACCCAGAAATACAGCACAAACACACAGCCAGATCACTGTAAAACCTGCTATTAGCTCTCTGCTTTAGCCTTCATTTGGCAACAAAAGGGTTAAACTAAACGAATAGTCGGTTTTTCAGTACCATGACTAGAATACAAATTAGTCAGTTACAAAAACAGTACTGTGCACTCATTTATTGAATTTCCAACCAAAACAGTACAAGCTATTTATTATTCAGGAGATATTTCTGAGGAGGGTAGACATAAGATAAACCAGTAGAAAGTCAAAGGAAAATGACACTGATGGAGTGGAGTTAATGATCAAAAAATGATTAAATGCCACAGAGAAAGTGTGGCTCCTGTCAACCACCTGGAAGACCTGGTAGACACCAAAACTGACCCCCATCAGATAAACAGCACTTAAAGCTTTCATCTTTGAGAGAGAGGAGAAAATCAAGCTGCTTCAGATCTGAAAACATCCACAGGTGTTTCTGTCCATCCTTCCACTGTGAGAAGACGACTCAGCGCTATGGGTCTGAAAGGATGTGTAGCTGTTCAAGAAGCCCTTGCTGAGACAAAAAGGACAAAAATTTACAAATCAAAAAATCTGCTGCCGTTCTCAGAACTGAAGAATAAAAAACTTGCACTTAATGGTCTTTTTGACTGGAAATGAAATAAAAGAAGGGTCTCTGACTTTTGCACAGTACTGTGTAACAGAGGAAGAGTCTCATTTTCTTGTGTATTTACATGAAGTACAGTTTGGTGTATTGTATAAACCACTTGTGTCAGACTGCTGTCCTTGCGGGCCACTGCTCTGCAGACTCAGTCAAACACATCTAATTTAGCAAGCCCCTATATTGAGTCCCAGAAGAGGGAAAACGGCAAACAGAAACCAGTTTGACAGTAGTTTAACTGGTCTTTAATTGTGAAAAGGGCTAAAACATGATCTTCGCTCCTGTCATGTCAGGTTGTTTTTGGATGAGAAGCGTGTTGTGGACCCCGTGGTGCGGGAGCACCTGGAGCTGGACAGTCCCAGTAAGCCGGAGCTGGAGGTGCAGTGTTTGCCCTACGAGTCCGTCTACACGGAGCTGCGGGCGGTCTGCTCCGCACTCGGCCCTAAAGAGAAGGTGTGGATCAGCGACAAGGCCAGCTGCGCCCTCACTCAGGCCATTCCCAAGGTGAGTCAACAGGAATGATGTCTTTTGCTGTATCTTTCAGGGTAATATTATATTGTTTATAGACAAAAATATACCTGAACAGTACTCTTATCTTCCAACACTGTATGACATACTGGATCTCTCTACTATATGGATCAGTCTATGGAATTGGTTCAAAATCAGAGTGGAAAACATATTTGGGACTTTAGACTAAAATGCTTTTGCTTTCAGTGACCCTATACCTTAATTATGTTTATTTTATTAACATAAATGATTGAACGTTCCATTTTGTCACTACCAAAACAATCATAACACTACTGCAACCGAGACTGTTTCGGTGGTGACAATTTTAGCTCATTTTGAGCAGAACTCCAAAAAAGCTAGCCAGTACATGACTAACAAACACAGCTTTACACAGCTGTACACAAATAAAATCATAGTATTTTTACTGAAACACACAAAAAATGTACTTAATTGGAGAAAATGTGTTTCGGTAATGAGGACACATTTACTTCAAAAACAATTTGATCTAACTGCTCACCATGTGGCCATGAGGGACAAGGATGCAGTCTCACTTCCTGCTCTAAAATGCAGGGGTGTGGCTAAAATAAGGGTCCGCCTACAGACTAAAACTCTTTGTGTTTCGGTAGTGACAGAAAAACATGGGACGGCATTTTTTGAATAATTTTTTTATTTCAAAATTAAACTAAATTTTTAACTTGACTTTAAAAGAAATTATAAATATCTTTGTAAAAAATTAGAAAAATGTAAGTTTTATTTTTTTTTTTTACAAGTGTAAATTTAGGGGTTAGGATTTAGGACAGACACCTCCCAATAGAAAGTGCCCTATATATGATGATTTTGTATATATGTAGCTTACTATCTCAATTAATACCCTGGGTTTAAGTAGATCCTAACTACTTAATTATCTTCTCAACGAAGGTCGTTCTGCTCGTTAGTTTGTGCTGATGATGAACGTGATTCATTCATGTGACGTTACTGAGTAGGATGTGGTCATGAGGGTCATTTCAGGACGCCAGTTCATCACATTAATGACAGATTTGAGTCACTTACCTAAACGAGTGTGAACCATCGTGTCAGAGAGATCAGATTTGAGCAAAAAAGGGATTTGAACAACGAGGCAAGTAATGTGAACGCAGCCTTAGCTACATTAGCCTCGCAACTCCAATGCAAACTAAAGACCTTAAGAAACAAGTCTGTCTTGGCTGATGGACCACGTTTAGAGTAAGGGGGGCTGCTGTATAAATTTGCTTTTACACCAAAGAATTGCAGCGGTCATTCTGGGAGCCGGCTGCTTCTCAACAACCGAGAAAGAAAAGTAAACCTTCCTGTCCCAGGTGATCCCTAGGGTGGGTCTGAAAGAGAGAAGGTAAAGCAGCTTAGCCCGAGCCACATCTGAAGTGAGTCACAGGGGTAGAGAAAGAGAGAGAAAACAAGGAATTCTAGGTATCAGGTGAGAGTGAGAGAACATGAGAGCAACTTGAGACATTTGTGTTCTACCTTCCCACGAGATACTCAAGGAGAACAATCTCCAGACTATCAAACCTAACGTGTAGTCCAAGGGTCAGCAACATGGGGCTCTGGAGCCGCATTTGGTTCCTTTACTGACCTGTTGCTGCTCCACAGCAGAATTAGGTTTGTAGGTAAAAATAAAATAATCCTCCCTTACAGTAAAATAAAGCTCTGCTGGTCGTTCAACACAGTTTAACAGTAAATGGTCTTAAACACTGGAGTTAATGTAGAACTGCCAATTCACCCTTTAACCCTGAAGCTTGGTGCGCGGACTGCTGGTCACCATAGCAACGCAGACAATGATCTTGCCTAACTAGTGACTAACGAAAAGAGAAAGATTTAACATGAATGTTGATAATTTGGAGATGAATGGATTTACTCGCATATCTGCAATGAGAAACTGTCAAACACTAAAAAGTCACAAAACTGAAGTCAGTTTCTCATTCGCCTGTTTCTTGTTTGAATTTTCGAACATTTTAAATGGTGCAACAGTTAGCTACATAATTAGCTACCTTCTGGCACCTCAGGCACATTTAAGGTGGAATGGGAAAATTCGAACAAGAAGCTGGCGAATAAGAAGCGACTTCAGCCTCGTAAAAAGTCGAAAGTAAAGAGGTATTTTACAAGAAACTGTTCTGCTTTTGAGGAAAAGTTTCCTGCCGGAGATGCGAGAAAAGCGGCTATAGCTGAGCTAAAGCTTAAAGTAGAGCAAAGTAAGTCTGTGTTTTCGTTTATATTCTGTTTTTTAGCCTACACTAGTACATTAGCACATTCTGAGACATATTTAAAGCCAAGATGGTGAAACATTACTTCAGTGAAATGGACATGAGATGTGGCTCCCAAGGTGGTCAGATTTTTGTTGAAACTTGACAACATGGCTCTTGACATTTGGGTTGCTGACCCCTGGTGTAGTCAGTGATCAATTCAGAGTCTTTGTAAGGGACGTCAGTGAGTGTGCATGACCGTGTTGGTCAGTAAAATGCATCATCATGTAGGATTGGAGCTTTCTCTGAGCTACCAGGTTTCCTATCACTGTGTAAAAGAAGCTGCTGCCTTTATTGTCAGATGCAGTTTCTCAGCGGGCATGTGCAGGTATTCAAAATCACCATGGAAACACTTATTATTGATTTTCACCGGAGTAACAGTAAAAGGTGACCAACATGAAGTACAGTTGTGTGCAAAAGTTTTGGCGCCCCTGATTTTGGAAGTGAAAATAAGTGAACACATCCTCTACATACAACACACTTCTACACAGCTTCATGCACAGTTTCTGTAGTGGCTGAATTTAGCATAAAAAAGCAACATTTTGTGTTTTATTTTTTAATGTATTGAAATCAAAAATGCCATATTAAAGTTTGTTCCCTATAGAGCCCATGTGTGAAACACAAGACACAATCCTCTTTAGCCTGCAAAAGTATTTTAATTTCCTATCAATATTAGCCTGTTTCACAGTGCGCTGCACTACAGTCCCCAGCATGCGCTGCAAAGTTATGTGCTCCGACTCTCCTACCCCAACAACAATCTATGGGACAGCAGTTACACCTCAGTTCTACACAATTCCACACCAGTCATATCACCAAATGCACCAGCTGCATTTCAGCTGCAGTTCAACCAACATAAACACTTAATGGTAGCTCAGCAGCTCAGAGACTGAGCCCAAGTCTTAATGAACTTGAGCAAAGAAAGGATGCCAGGTGTCCAGTTCAAGCAGATAGGCAGGTTTAAGAGACCTGAGCTCTTAAATATTTCAAGTATTCATATAATATTTGAAGGTTTACTACAAGTGTCTGTATTTTACTGTTGAAGTTTTTGCATATTTTGAATAAACAATAGCCAATTTGGATTATTGCACAACATTAATTAAAAATTAAGTAAAACATTTTTTCTCTGGCCCACAGATTTGTTGATATTTTCTAATATGGCCCTTTTACTCGTTGAGTTTGACACCCCTGCTATAGAAGATGTGTTATGGCTGTATATTCATATTCATGCTTGTTGCCTCTTACCAGAGACATAAGCCTCTATGAAATATTATGCTGAAATCTGCTAACACATGGATTTGGTGTTGGCCGTTGCTGTGAGAATGGGTAGTTCTGCAAGATCAGCGTGAGGTTTGGGTCAGTTTTATTCAGCTGGTGAGTAATTGTTGTTTTTCTCTTTTCAGATCCACAGGTCTCCAATCCCGTACACACCATTATGTCTGGCCAAAGCAGTGAAGAACCCTACAGAGATACAGGGCATGAGGATGGCACACGTGAGTATTAAAGGACGTGTAGCAGACAAAGGACCACAGGTTAAACAAGCTGAGCACTGACCGCGTATGGTAACTAAATGATTAGTAAGACAGGAGTCTGACATTTCAAAATTAGTGTGTTTATTATTTACTTTGCTGCATATTTCTTGCATT